GGTTTTTGGCGGTGACCCATATAAAAAAAAAACGAGTCAGGTATATCTAATATAATTACAAAATTATTCAACACTGAAATAGCTTTACTGGAATAATTTAAAAGTTAAAACACTGCAGGGCTGTACTATAAAAATATATAATTAGTTTAATTGAAACTTGAAAGTAATATTAAATATGTTTGCTACCTTAATATCTATTATATTATAAAGTACATTATACACGACAGCGGGCATCATTGCTTATAATTTATAATGTAATGTCATGTACATTTGCATAATATAATATCGGTAGTTGGTAAGTCGCAACATTAAGTTAAAATAATGCCCAGTGTTATGCTAACAAATAATACCTTCACATTATTTTTTGAATCTTTTCGACTACCTATGTATAAGGTCAAGGTGTTTACACACAAATAGTTTGTGCTGTTCGTCAATTTCTTCGGCGGATGCTCTATCCGATACACAAAAACTTCATTGACCCAAAGAATGATTTCATTAGAATTTGGGGGAATACCCGTTAGTCGTCACTAAGGTATGTTATGTGCAGTCGGTAGATACCGGGTATATAATATGTATATCGTATACTTTGAATTATTATGGACTAATCGAATGACTAAATATTACGCAATGAATAATAATAATATATAATATACTTTAATATAATTATATGACACACACGCGGGTTTAAAGGTGAACACAAATTTTCTCGAAAATCATTAATGTTTTTGTATAATAAAATATTATGTATTTAGATGGTTTGAAATTCTTACATAACAACGTTTATAATAAAAAATATATTTTGCTAACGTGTAGCTAATTATTTATAGAAGTATTTAAAGTTTTTGATGAGTGGAGTGTAGTGACTAGTGACACATGTTTCTGGGGTATCCCGCAACATGTTGGTCCACTCGATGTCTCCGTTCATATCATAGTATCATACCTATAAATACCATAGAGGCATAGACCTTTTACAAATAGACAGGCCCTCTTCAAGTCTTCTGCGTGTCGAGATAGGTGGCGCTTTTCAGTTACTGAGTTACTCTGATAAAGTACAAAATATATGTATATATTGACACATCGATACTATAGATTTATACAAAACAGACTACTTCACTGGCGCCATGTAGGCACGCGAATTTCTGGAGTTTTAGGTTTTGGATGTGCCGGTCTATGAGTAAAAAGTCCATGATAAATACTTATAAGTAGGTAGGGCTGGGATTCCTATGCGTTTGCGTGTTTTTCTCTTGAGCGCCAATTTATTGGTTGTCAGATAATATGTCCCTGATTCGGATTATTCTCGATTAAATAAAACAACTTTTTTTTTCTGCATATTTTTGCATATTTTGAACATAATTCATCTAGATAATTCTGATTATTGCATAATTCGATTATTGGAAATCTTTTGATTTTTAAATGTATTTATTTAATGAACGTCTATAATTATTAGGCGATTTGTCGAATCGTCGTAAATATGCTATCTAATTTAAGTAACTTTATCTTGGCCAGACGACCTATATATAGGATTACCTATACAGTATACATTATTTTTGTTTTTCATAAGTAACAACCAGTTTTAGTCAATAATCTATCTAAATCCATTCATCATTTCGATCGCCGGTCATTCTTGTTTCAAAATTTGAAAGAGAATATCATTATAAAAATATTCTATGCAATAATAACCGCTTAAAAAAAAATTCTGTATAAATAATAAATAATAAATAGATATTAGTTATTACTGAGTTGGTATGTTCTGTTTCAATTAGTTTCTGATTTTTATGCAAAAAATATTAAATGTTATGTAGAAATAAAAAAAAACTGTTTTTGCATATTTTGGTAAATAAAATGCATATTTTAAAATTTTTTATTGCATATAAATAAATTATAAATCAAGTATATAAAGGATAATATATAAATAAGTTATAAGTTATAACTAATTAACTGTTTATAGAAAAAATATAAATGTTGTAGTAGGTTTTTGAAAATATTAGTGTTAACCTTCTAAAGAAATCACCTTGTGAGTACAATAAATAATTCTGGAGGTTTGAAAATGAATGTTGGGCGCTTGATTGGGATTGATGTTAAACGTTGTATTTTGAATTCGTGATTTTACTAGTGGTACATCGAGGTACGATTTTTCATTTTTTAACCCATAATACTATGGGTATAAATGTATGTACGTATATGTTTAATCTATAAATCCAATTATTTTTAAAAATTGTTTTGTACATAATATGGATAGTGTTTAATTCGTTTTATAAGCACATTTGCATGTTATTATTATTGCTTTGACCATGTCGATTAATTTTTTCCGGTAGGAATATTATTATTGTCCATCCCTTTCTGCCCTCTTGTTCGTGATACAGTCGAAAATAATAGGTACCACAGTACCAGGTACCTGTTATATCATAATCTACAGCAGCTATGTATAACAATAATACTCTCGAGTATAATAACACAGCATAGTTTATACGTATAGTAGACGTACAGAACGATTATCATCTTTATTACTATTATTATTATTATTATTATTATTATTATTATTATGAGTAGACGACGTCGTGTTTGTTCTTATAATATTAAAAGAAAAATAATAGTATGTGTCTTGTATCATTGACTGTTGTCGTTTTGTATATAAACGATAATTTATAGTCGCTTCGACGTCTGTATATAAATATGTCAACAATATATTAATGTATAATATAATGCCCCATCGAGAATAGTAATTTTACGTCATGCACGCATGTAGATGATTCTAAAATATCATAAATCATATATTATCATGATATCGTTGCATTATTGTTAACAACGATCCGTGTCGATGAGTTTCTCTTCAAATGTTGATGACCGCAGCACGATATTATCGTCGTTTTCTCGTTTTAAAAATATTTCAAATCCAAAAAAAAAACCAAATAAACTATAAATCATACTTAAACAATTTGTATACACTGTTCATTTGAATTTGATAATACAATATATTATTGAGTAGCAAACCTGGGCCTCGGACCTGACAAGGTGGAGCCCACTTAGGGGAGCAACATAATGAATGAGTGGAGGAGCCCAACATTTTATCAAAATTTTATGGTAAGGGGGGCTTAAAATTATCAACTTGCCAGGAGCGCTATTATTGGCCGGCTATGTTAAGAAGGTACTTACGTGATTTATTAAATTAACGTATTTATTATCCTGGGTGATCCTTATTTAACATATATCATTCAATGTTTCAAAAAACACTAACGTTATAAAATTATTTCTTTTACTTAATTTTAATTCATTACAAAATAACATTATTGGAAACAAATTATTTTTACTACTTGAATTGTTTTCTTTTTCAATGCCAACATACATTTTTTAATTCATATTCCTAAACAGCATATTATTTGGAATATTCAGATTTGTACAAATTTCGGACATGTACTTTATAAGTTTTATAAGCTTTAAGTTTAGATGAGCGTAATAGTGGACCGACATTTTTCGGGGTACCTTTGTTCTACTCCATTCCTCCCGTTTAAATTTTAAATACTTATAAACAAGAAGGTACTTGTCCAAAATTTGATTTTAAGTACTCTAAAATCTATTCTGCTTAGAAACAAGGAGTTAAAAATGCGTATTGTCATAAAAATAATAAAAATAATAATAACTATGAAAATAATAACAATTGTGTGATTTAAAAAAAAAGTTAATAGTTTTTGTAACACGGAGTGTCTTAATATCTTGAATAATGGATCATCCAGTATTATCCAATGTACATAATTAATAATACTAGGTACCTATATTAATACATTTACGATTATAAGTTTTTGTCTTATAAATGTAAATTTCTCAAATGTATAAAGTATCAATTTTCAATCGATCTTAACATACGTATAATATAAATTTATCAAACATAGCCTACGGATTTCTTTGATTTGATAACTTAGTGGGTATACTGATGTTAAGTGTACTGTTTAAAAATCGATTTGGACTTGCATGTTTGGTATATTTATTAGAATGTAAATATCACTGAATCACTAGGTATGTATATGTATAAGACCTTGACCAACATTCTAATCACAGTAACACTGGAGAATTAAAACAAAAAAACTGGTTCAACTTCCAACTATTTCTACTCCCTTTATTTGTACATCTATCCTGCAACACTGTGTAAAAGAATATTTCAACTCCATTTCAAATCCAAATCCTACTTTACTCAAAACATTTCCCCCGTATTGTATAGGTACGTGATATTTGCGAATTGTATCATTTGTATCTATAAGAAAAAAATTATTTATTTATTTTTACAGAACTATATTAAGTAAACGTCATATTATATTTTTTTTATTATAAATTTGAGTTGTCCTGGTTTATGTACCAAACTATTCGATTAGTATATACGTATACCTACACAATATATAAATATATAAATAAATTATTAATTTGTTTTCAACATTCATCAATAGATATTTGTAAACATTTATTTGCAAATTAGTTTTTTTATTTGTTTAATTTTTTTCTAATAATTAAAACATTTTAAGGATAATAGTGTGTTCATCGTTGACACATACCTAAACTGTACATGGAAACACACTAATTTGTGTCCCAGATATATTCGAATGTATTTTTTCGTGCGATTTAAAAATAATTTTGTATTTATTTAACAATATTTTATCAGATTGTTTATTTGTTTTGAATGTGGAGTGTAACTGTATCAACAAGACTATAGGTACATCAATAGGATGCTGTTTGGCGTTTACCCACGATAATGATTTTGGAACGCAATAGTGTAAATACATGTTCCCCTTAAATTTTTAGGTTTAGTTAAGATTTTTCTCCTGTCATCTTAGTATTCATACATTTTTTTTTTCATGATATTTTAGTTTTGTATTCTACCATTAGTGTACGTGTAGGCATACATACTATTAAAAACTGATATATTGTATTTAATATTAAATTAGATTTTTCTTTCTGTATACGTAAATACTTTATTGGATTATTATTTATGATGGTTTTTTTTTTTTTTACAGCAAGGGTATTTGATGAAATTTGGTTACTTGCCAGAATCTGATCTAGAAACGGGCAACTTGAGGGACGGAAGTCAACTACACGATGCTCTGCGAACATTGCAGGTATGTCATATGCAATTATATACACACGCATAATTACATAAATACAAAAATCATACTAAACACACATTATACACTTGGTGGTTCACCAAGCATTCTCAGCTTAAATTCAAGGCTATATAATTCAATATAATTCAAGAATCTTAAAATATGGTCTTTATGTAGGCACATTAACAAATTCTAAAAATCAGATTATTGAAAAAAAATTGGGTTGATCTCGCTTGGTGAATCATACAATGAATCATGAACAATATAATTTCCAAAAACTTAAAACATATTGACATATTTAAATATATTATTATATTAGGTATATGTTATGTTTTTCAAAAGAAAAAAGATGTTCGTGTACCTTGTACCTGGTGCTTTAAATGGACGTTATAAATGTATTATTTGAAGACAATTTCTTCTTTCTTATATAGTTATATTATAATTTCGTCATTATAAACGTATATTTAGTACATTTTCACTCTTTATAGTCTCATACAACTTCCGCAGTTACTAAATCGCTAATAATATTATATTTTACAATGAATGACAATGATAATATTATATACTATACTACTATAGTCTATATTATTTTCATGAAATATTTCCGATATTGTTTTTAGACGTTTGGAAATATTCCTATCACCGGCCAATTGGACGAGGCCACTAAACAGTTGATGAAGAAACCGAGATGTGGCGTTTCTGATATTGTACAGCCTGCGGGCCAGAGAACTAAACGCTACACCCTGCAAGGTCAAAAATGGCATCACGTCAACCTGACGTGGAGGTGAGTGGAATAAAGTCTTTTCAAAATTAGTTGCCAAGTGTACTCAAGTTACCTGTAATACATGAATTATATATGTTATATATAATATTAGAATTTGGGCGATTTAAAAGCGTGTGACTTAGAAAAAATTTTTTTATTTAGTTTATCATATTATTATGAATTATTAGGTTATGAGCTTATGACACTATATATTTCAATAAGAAATTCTAATCTTGCAATATTTTCCATGGAAATAATATTTGTATCACAATACCTTTAATATGCGCGCGTGATGACTGTTGAGATTTTTAATCGTTTTTAATTTATCGATTACCAAATCAGAATACTTACGGAGTATAAAGTGTAATATATGGACCAACAATTCGGTATAGTATACATTTGACTTTTTCATCAGATCATCTAAAATGCTGAATAAAACAAAAAAATCAATTCGTATGACGATATTTTTTTTATATTTATATGCGCCAAAATTAAAAGTATAGAGTAGATATATGAAATTAAAAGTATCTGTATCTGTGTGTAGGTCACATCGTTTGAAAAAATATGAAATCAGTATAACAAGTTTAATTTTGATGTGATGAGTCTTACTATTTTCAGTATTTTGAGACTTTAACTATTTAGCAAGAATGTCACATAACAGCTTTTAAGGGTTTTCCAATAACATAGAAGCAATAAGTACAAATAATAATTTCATTATTCAATGAAATATTTAGAAAAATTTAATTTAAAATCATAAATTTATTTAAATATCACAACTAACTTACAAGTGGTATCATGTCAGTCAACTCATTGTTGGTTGTTGTGCATATCACGAATCCATATAGAAAAACAGTATACAGCTGTCATGTTATAGTTAAGATACAGCATATTCATCATAAAAAAATAGAAATTTGTCTGTGGCAACATACATCCTTTTTCGATATCACTGTTAAGAAAAAATTATTCTATGAATTTAAAAACATACGATACTTTTTTTGAACGATGTATAACTAAGTTTTTATATTTTTTCGCTGGTGATTGATATTAATACACCTTAGTTACTGCATTACGCCAATTCTATCTACATTCATTTCCATAATCACCACAAATCGCATATTTTCCGCCACCTCTCGTACAAACAACGACTGCTAGACAACACTTCATATGATCAGTGATTACATAATATGTGATACCCATCATTAATTACTCAATAAACATACAACAGGCAATGATTGACGATCGCAATGATACATTATACTATAGTTATATGATAATATCTATTATTTAAGATCTGTAGAGTTTAAATGTAATTAGATGTTAGGTAAGTACAAGAATTCGATAACATAATTCCAATAGTTAGCATCAAAATACGCACAATCATTAGATTATTACTGCAATATTACAATGATAGATATTATAATATAATAAAACCATTTTAAAGTATTATAGGGATGTAGCCATGCAAGTTCCTACTTAAAAAAAGATAAAATTGTTATTGGTGTCAGAGCCAACGTGATTTTAGTAATATTTTTTATCACTTGCCAACTCGCAGGATAATTTATAATATGTATTAGTTAGGTACTAAGTATAGTTTAATTTTTCCATTATGAAAACATGAAGACTTTAAGGTTGCATTGGACTCAACTATTTAATAAACTATATTTTCAGAAGTTGTAAATCGTAAAAACATCTTATAATAATAATCACACATTTTTTTTAGTATTTTTAAATATATTTTTCTGACATTAGCCATTTAAACAGAATTAAAAATCGTAGTCCTATAACTAGAAACAATAACATATTTAGATATTGGGTATAGGTACTTATATAAATCATCTTTTTAACAATCAAAGTCTATACCGCAAGACGACTTCAACCGCGACATCCGTGACCTGACGATTTATATGATGTCTAATGAATTGATATTCTATTCACGTCTATTATACCTATTAGCCATTATACCTATCAATTAAAAAATAAATCACGAAGCACAATGGATATTCAGATTTCAGAGTTACCCACTCAATTTGGATGTGATGTTCAAATTGGCGCCACCACAACCTCTTTGAGTGAGCGACTCGGGGATCTACATGCACGTCGTCGACTGCAGCAGCAATACGGGCGTAGATTATTAATGTTTTAATAATATCATTAATTATTATTTATAGTTGATATTTTGAACTATTAATTTTTTATAATATCGATTGAACAACCCGTCGCGGATCTTATTTTTTGCTCGTGTCTATTATATGTAACTTATTTTGTCAACTGCAGTTGCAGTCAGCCGAGATCAAATGTTAAATAAACAGCATATTGTATTTAAAACGATAAATAATATTAATATTACCAATATTCAGTCAGGCAAGACACTTTTTGACCATAATCGTACCCTTCTTTTTTCCGAAATACGCTTTTTAAATGCTTTAAAAAAAAGTAACTTTGCAAATTACACAATGTTCACAACTTGTTAACAGTTAACGGAATTTGAAAGAACTTATAATGATTGTAAAACCCTATACTGACTTATAGTAAATCTACAATCCTCTTTAAATGCTTTAATTACGATTTGTATTCATTGATCACTCAATTTGTCATAGAATTTTTAATAATTAAATAAACATAATATTTACTTAAAGACATTATATTTTCAAATACTCTTTATTTTAACGCGATGTCAGATTTTTTACTAATACAATAACAAGCAAAAATAATAATACTTATATCGGTCGTTTGTTTGTTCTTAGTTTGCGGACGAGGCGTTTGGATAAAGTAGACCACGGATGGGTGAGGTCGGACTTGAACAAAGCGTTCCAAGTTTGGGCCAAATATTCAAAACTCACGTTTCGGGAAGTTAACAGCGAATCAGCAGACATACTGGTGTTTTTCGAAAAGTGAGTGTTAGTCTTTGCTTATACGTCTTGTCTATCAATAATGGCTTCACATTTTAGAGCGCACTAGTGCGTGTTGTATAGAAACGAGAGTGTTTCTAGGACGAGATCTCAAAAATCTTAAAAATTTCAAATTTCAAATCCAAATTCAGCAGAAACCGTGTTTTAAAAAAAAACTTAATTTTAAATCAAAATTGATTCTTTATAAAACAGTATGTTATATATCTACTACCTAAAAGAGTCATTTTCGTGATAAATCATAAAAATATATTTTATTACAATATTATCCATTATTAAAGATGTCGTAATGTGGTAGCTTGTCGCTTTTATTTTAAACCTCGTAGGCAATGAAACCGGAATGTAGGATTCTGTTCATAGCATATACTCAATTTTGGGTTTATAGTTCTTAGATTTTTGATATACCTGTTATGTTCGTGATGTAGTTTAAATAATATGGCTCTTTAAAAAATATAATATTATCTGACGAATGTGCGTCTGTTTAACGTAGAGGTTACCACGGCGACGGATATCCATTCGACGGGCCGGGTCAAGTGTTGGCTCACGCGTTTTTCCCAGGCACAGGACGAGGAGGAGACGCTCATTTTGACGAGGAAGAAGAATGGCTGGTGGCCGACAAGACCAGCAAAGATGGTGAGTACCAGTATACCACAGTAATACAGTATAGTGGCAGTGGTCAGTAGATAATATATGTACTGCATGTATACTTATAAGTAAAACTATGACGGATAAGTATCTACGTTACGTACCAGTGCAGTAGTGGTCAAACAGAGGGGGTGAGGGAGATATTATATTCCTTATATTAACCATTTTAAAACAAAATTATTTTTTTTCTAGTAAGTGACAATAAAAACCACAGACTAATTATAGATCTTAAGTAAATTATGTTTCTAATGATCAAAATGCATATGTTAAAAATCATTTGACCAATTCACTTTTAAATATACCATATAGTAAATTGTCAATGACACAAATATGACTTTGTCCTCTCAAATCTTCATAAATTCCTCGTCGAGTTCAGGTATAGCCGACAACCGTATAAGAACTATATATGTATCTACAGTTTTTTTCTCAGCAATTTCGAAAACGACCATGTTGTGTTGAACTTGGACTGTGAGCAATTTATCTATTTTGTATACATATATTGAGAGAAAAATATCCAATAATTTAGCAATAATTTAGACCTTCGTGCAGATAGTACTAAAATTTCATTTCAGAAAAAGAACCTCGTATTTTACTTGAATTAAATATATATTTTATATTTATCGGGTTGATCTGGATGTTTAACCCCCCCCATTCCATTATCCTGACTACGCCACTATATATTGTATAATATATATAGGTATATAATAATATACAATAATTTGTATTCAATGAATTTTGGTGGTGTGCTTGAAGGTACTTATGTCACCAACATATTATTTTTTGCAAACATGAGAACAAACTATTTACGCAATTGCATATACCGGAATTCCTAATTTATTTTTATTTTTTAGTATACTTAATATTATAATTTATTTTAAAAAAATGTTGCTCTTCTGCAGGAACCAGTCTGTTCAGGGTGGCCGTGCACGAATTCGGACACTCGCTCGGTCTTTCACATTCATCAGCCCAAGACGCACTGATGTTCCCGTGGTACCAGGATCTGAAATCCGACTTTGAACTTCCCAACGATGACCGAATTGGTATACAGATCCTTTATGGTAAGTGTATAGTGCATAAGGAAATTCCTTTACGGGTGGCATATAAGCCCACGAAAATCGGTTGTCATTTAATAGATCAATAGTTTTTTTTCAAATACATTTATACATCGCTATCCAAAACCAAACGCGTGACAATATTTATCCCACCGGACTCTTGATACGAACAGTGCGTCGGAAATATCATTAGCTCTGATTATTATTTTAACGTATCGACCTTTCCAAATATGTAGTGTTCACTTTATAGTCCCTTCTCATAAAATAGTTCATAACCGATAATAAACTGTTTTTAACTATACAGCCACCTACGAGTTACGACCTATCCACTAACTATATAATATAAATGCGTTGAAGGCAAAAAGCATTTAATTAGGTATTCGTGTGTATAAGTACGAAAAAACTACACCGTTAGTTAATGGGTATATTAAGAACTTTCAATTTACTTCTGCAGTTAACTAATGACAATATAGAAGTGTTCGATATTTTGAGGAAATAAATATCGATTACGATTTTAATTCCGATACATCAATCAATTTTTCGTTTTCATTAAATAGGTGCTAAAAATGACAAGATCTGGGGTGACATACCGGCTTACAGACCGACTTCGCCGAGACCGGATCTATCGACTACCGTTCCGACGATATCTACTACAGCCAGGACAGTGGTTACCAAATCCATGACCAGTTTCACTACTACTGTGGCCCCCATGACATCCACTACCAGCAGAACAATGCCACCCAGAAGACCGGACGTGCCAGTGGTCGCCGAAAACAAACCGGACTTTTGCAACACGTCCTTCGATGCAGTGTCGATCATACGAAAGGATACGTTCTTCTTCAAGGGCAAATACACGTGGAGATTAGGCCCCAAGGGACTATACGCCGGATATCCGGCTCTAATTTCCCGGCTGTGGTACAATCTGCCAGAGAACATGAACCAGGTGGACGCTGTGTATGAAAGGCAAGACGGCAAGATTGTGTTTTTTATAGGTCAGTATATATACCAGTTTTATTTTAATTATTACTTAATATGGCATTTACAGACACAAACATTTAAAACTTAACTACTTATAATTTTTTCTTGTTATGTAGATCAGCGTTTCTTAAACTGTGTTCCGTGGAACCCCAGGGTTCCGCGGAGGTCACTTCAGGGTTCCCCGAAACTTGTGGTTTTTTATTCAATATTTTAAATTTTGACACATAATTATAACTTTTATTGCAAATATTCCTTACATATAATGACGCATTGAAAGTATTGAAACAATGTAGTGGTTCTAATTGTCGAGCTGTAATAGTTTATTGTTAAGAGCTCAATAAAAAAAAGCTAAAAAAAATTGGGGGTTCACGGTGAAAGTGCACATAAAAAAGGGTTCCACGGATAAAAAAGTTTAAGAAACGCTGATGTAGATAATACATTTGTAGAAAATATACAATTCAGTATTTAACGCATAGTTATTTTTTACTGATATTTGATACTTTTCAAGTCATAATAAAATATTAGACATAATTCAATAATTTGCCATAACTACGAAAATTTAAGTGCATATTTCTCTCCATTTTTGGTTTCATAATATATGCACCCATATCTCGTTTTAATTTAATGCATTCAATTCACAGTTCTAGATCACTGATTATATTTTGAGTACCTGTATATATATGCTGTGTGTAGTCTGATAAAAAATCAATTTGAATACGAATTCAAAACAGATCAATAACCGATCAATAACCGCCTTGATTCCACCGATTCTTGGACAAGGCAAATAGGTACAAAAAAGGTTTTGACACAATATTATAGTGCTACACATTTTAAATTTATGGTAAATTTTGGTTCACTGACAACTCGGAGGTGTACGTAGTTCACAAAGTTTCTGTATAACAACCTAAAACTTCAAATGATACGCTCATGGTGATTAAAACAGCCGTCAATACAATATATTAATGTACAATAAAAATGCTTGATGGAATACGCAATACCTGACTCGGCAGTGAACATCGATTTCAAACGATAGTACTTCGACGATACTTCCAAAAGCAGCCATCGCGATATTAAAATATTAAATGTAACATGCTGCAGTCCACAAACGGCGTTTCGAAGCTTCTTCCTTCTCATACACTCGTATCTTCTACGGTGCATATATTTTATTCCAATAATTCGATTTTTTACTGCAGCAGTCAATGCCAATAAAGTGAATAATAGCAAAATATTGGATGTTTTAAGTTTTTAAAAAGTTTAGGCACTCGATTTTATTTCCGTCGACATTTTTATTGATATCAAAATTACACTCAATGGGAATAATAATAATCTTATCATATCACCTATAGTCATATAGAATCAACCAAATTTAATTTTTTTAATAAATAGAGTAAAATATTTTACAACTAGCACTAAAAACTCCGGTTAATCATTATCTGTACATAAATAGAAGGCGCTCGCATAAAGTTAATATATTATAGTTCTTCGCAAGAAAAGTATTGTACCTACTACCTATGTACTCATCGAAAATACTATGGTGAAAAATAAACTAAACTAATAAAAATGTATTTTATTTATTGTTTAATTTAAAAATATAAAAACATATGAAAAAAATAGTATACGTAGGTGCAGTAGATTCGAGCTCAGCAATTTCGATTTCGCCGTTTAGTACGGATTTCAAGAAAATAAACACGCAATACCTCTCTATAAACATTTAAGTTGACTACCCAGTACTTATTATAGGCAAATCGTATTTTTATAAACGTCGACAATATAATATACGTATAATATATATATACAGTGATTTACCACGTACCTACCTATATACATACATTTCTTTGTCCGTATTTCTTTTGAGCGTATAATAATTGAATATATAATCATTGTGCAATGCCTGTACTGGAACACCGATTCGCCGCGCAGGTCGTCACTATTACGTATTCGACGGCAACAATCCACTGCCAGGATACCCGAGGCCGCTGACAGCTCTCGGACTGCCCGAAGAACTGGACCGAGTGGACGCGGCCATCGTCTGGGGCCACAACAGCAAAACGTACATATTCAGCGGCACCATGTACTGGAGGTGCGACGACGAAACCGACCGGATGGAGCTGGACTACCCGCGGGACATGTCCATATGGCGCGGCGCGGGATACAACATCGACGCGGCGTTCCAATGGCACGACGGTGAGTGGAACCGATAATAATAATAATTATTCCCATGAATTATACGATTTGCCACGTAATTGTTTTGCACCTACAGCTGCGGGGCGACGGTGCCGGGGCCGACGAAACTCTATAACCGCGGTTCAGTCAAAGTTCAAACGCATGACTTCTGAATTTAATTACACATTGTTATTGGCATGGGCGGGAAGTGAGCTATTTTAGTCGCCACTATATAGCGATGTGCGACGTTTGCGGCACGAGTCGTAGACGAGGCCTGTATAATCAGTTCGAGACTGAAATTATTGCATTCCCTCGCGAGCCAAACATATTTTTTTGTTGTCACGCCCTCGCCGATAGCTTGATTTTCTAAATCGGTTTGAGTGTTCGAAAACGACCTCACTCCGTCCAGCAGACAGTAAATATTTTATTTCCGACCGAGGGTCGGTAAAGTGGGAATGCTCACTACGCAGTGGTAGCTTAATGAAATTATAGTAATGTTCTGCAGTAGGAAAAAATATGATATTAAAACAGATACAAAATAGGTACCCACTTCAGTTCAAGTTAATTTATATATTGATTCTTTATTCGCAATCATTCAAAACTAAAAATGTATGTGTGTCTGTCGCTTATGCAGGTGCAACGTACTTCTTCAAGAATCGCGATTTCTGGAAGTTCAACGATCTCAGGATGCGCGTCGAACAGGAGGAGCCCAGGTCGATCGGCGAGTTCTGGTTCAACTGCACTGCGATTGGCGGTGGTGAAGGAAACGGCGGCCGGTGGCCCATCAAAAACAAGGGCCGGACCACTGGTCAGAAGGGCAATGCAGGCCGTGGTGGCCGATTTCGGACGGCCGACGACGGGCCGTCTGGCAGCGGCGACGTCAGCTCTTCGGGGTCCGTCGCCACCGATCATACGCCGCCTCCGATCGTCGCCTGGTCGGTCACGATGGCGTCGCTCGCGACGATCGTACGGTGGGCAAGATGAACGTCGCCACGAAAAACCATACGCGTTCGTCATATGTATATATGATATTATGATAATTGATGATATTGTAATATTTATTGTGATGTATAATAGCATAATGTGGCGTCCAACGGCAAAGTCGAGTGTGACGATTTAGGGATAGCGAAAATCACGATTTTATCGAGTTATTCAACCAAATCATAATATTATGTAACCGATGTCTGATGAATTATAATATATTATATGCGATGCGACTACCGCAGTGTCGATTTGGGCCTATCGTATAAGCGAAAAATAGACGAAAAATTCGATAGAATTAGACTGACAATTGGCAAACCTGAAATATCTTGTTTTTGGTGCAAGTCTCGTGGTGAGAAAATGGAAAAAATTGAGTGATAATATAAAATAGGTACTTCTATAGTTCAGTTTATTTCCGGTATCTGCAATAATATTCGTAATCCTGTTGTTACGATTTTATTATATTTCAAAGTTTTTCAGCCACAATTAATGCATATCATGAATATTAATACTTTTCAAGATTTAAATAGTTCTACTTTCTGCAAGAACATTTGAAACATTATTCTCATACATCTCCGAAATATTGTGCATTTTGTTCTGCTCTCGTCCCTAAAATGTCAAGTATTCTTACCCTCCCTCCCCGTCTCACTTTTTTCGAACGCAAATCAGTATATTGTATTAAATTAAGCCTATACGTCGTGATTTACCAAGTATTCCCACCCCATTTTGTCATTATATGTTTAGTAATGAAATTATTCAAATTCTGATTTTTAAATACTTTAATACTATATTTTTAAATTCTTGTTATTGTGTGTACTTTAGTTAAAGAATGTACAAACTTTGGCTATACAAACTTCTGTATTTTAAATGAGAACTCCCTTTTACTGTAAAATTTAATGGAACATGATTTTAATTTTGATGCAAGTAGGTACCTAATTCAAAATTCATCATTGATATGTTTCTACTATAAGAATTATAGTGCTTAAAAATGTTTCTACAAAAATATAAAACACATTAATAATACTTGAATCATTTTTACAAATTATAAATTTTGATCATCAATAGATTAATAAATAATACCTAATAATTACTAAAATGTTCAATTCATTGTAGCACCTATTATAATTGATCATCCTTACTCTTTATAGTATATTAAGTCAAATAACTCAAAAACGACTGGTTTGAATTTTAATTTCGATACGTCAGCGTTTTTGGAAACATGTCACGCGTTAAATAATTTACAGCGTATAGGGACTACTAGAATGGGCCATTCTACATCAGAACCCCGATTTCTCATTAAAATATATATAAGTTTGCATCTTCAAAGGACACTCCTTATATAGGTAATACTTAAATTCTCAAGCATTTAAAAAATATGGTCTCTGAGTTAATATATTTCAAAATAATTGCATTATTGAGCAGCTTAGTCAATCATCCTGTACATCCAAGTATAGTGAAAAGACAGGGGAAGTGTTATTTTTGGTATTATAAAGACAGGATTTAGACCTTTGGGCCAACCATTTACTCCACCATTTATCCGGGATACAGTACCTAGTGTTGCCGTTGCGGCTACATTTTATCGTCATCAACTCGACGTTGTTTACAATGTCTGACAAATTTTGTGATATTTTTTTTCTATCAACACTATTATATTTTATACCTATTTATATAAATATATTTACTATACATAAAGGTAATTATGGATATCATATTATTACGTTTTGAAATATTACCTAAATTATTTATGTATATACTTATAAGCTGCGTTATATACCTATATTTATGACATAATATATTTATGTACCTATAGTTTTATTTTGTATCGAAATCGCCAATGTTTTTTTTCTACTTACGGTTTTGTAATTTTTAAAAATAAAATAATGTAATTGTACTTAAAAATTTTAACGTTTTTCTTAATCCTTGTTGTCCCATCAGTGGGCCCAGGCGTTTCTCAAGCAACACCTTAAATCAGTGATGGCAAATCCATGGCACGCGTGCCCGGGGTGGCACTCGAAAAGATTTTGTGGGCACGCGAAAATGTTTACTATTATAATATATATAATAATATAATATATATAATAGTATAGGACCTTTAATAACCTAAACTAACCTTTTTATACTAATACATTAATTATACAATCAAATTATAGTATAACAAAATATAATATTTTTAATATTTTTTTCATGGCACGCTCTAAAAAAAAGGTTATTACTAATTTTGGGCACGCAGTGTTCAAAAGGTTTGCCATCCCTGCCTTAAATAAAGGTAGGTCGTAGGTGAGTATTGATAATACTTATATATAAACTTATTGATTGTTATTACTTAAATATTTTTAAGTATAATAAATACTAATAAGTATACATATAGGTACACTTATATCAGGGCCTGATAAACCAATAGGCTGAGCAGGCTACAGTCTAGCAGGGCACCAATCGGCCAATGTTTAATTGGGGGCGCCACAAAATACCCCCCTCCTAATCCGATCATTCGTAGGGGCGCCGAATCAACCATAGCCTACTAGCGACCAACTCCTTAATCAGGCTCTGACCTATATGATAATTTGTTATTTAATTAATCTAAAAAGAAGATAGATACTAGATAGGTAATAATTCAGTTGTCTATGTTAATATTATAGGTAATAGGCAGGGTTCGGGACTTTATGCATTTCCATATTTGTTCGGGAAGTAAATAGAATAAATCTGATCCGGTACAAATTTGTGTTGTGGTGTTTGGAGTTAAAAAGTTTACTGTGCATATGTTTGCATATTTTGGAATTTTTTTTTACCAATGCATATTCTTAAAATTTATTGATTTTTATTGTATATTTTAAAACAATTTTTAATTATTTACTCTTAAATCAATTTTATCTACATGACTTAGTCGGCAATAATACCGAAAAGGCGATAATCAATATCCTTATGGGGAACGGGGAACCTATTTTATTTTTAGCTCTGAGGACAATATTATTTTTATTTTATCTGTCTTTTATAGTTTTATAGTATTATTGTATTAATTTGTTTGCCAGTACATGGTGATCGACGGACCACGAACGTTATCGAAGGCATGTATCGTCAATCGTTGTCGTGTTCGTATTTGTATTCGTTATTTGTTGTATTTATTAGAGCTCGTATTTGCGGTATAATATGCCAAAAGAAAAAAAATCAAAATTAGTCGGTTGAGAAGTTATATTTTGAAATTTGGGGATAATATATTTTCCGCAGACGGAAGAATTTGATTTTGCAAAATATGTGAAATTAAAGTTTATATGAACGGCGATCTAGTGTAATACAACATATACAAACAGTAAAACATATGAAAATGAGGAGGGAAATATTCAATACATGAACCCGGCAAATGGTTACACAAACTAATACAACTAAAATATAATTATAAAATGATTATTTTTTATTTTAACAATTTTTAATTGCTAGGTAAGGAAGATGTTGAGTGTTAAAAAATCCACATTTTTTTTTTCATAATATAGTATGCATAAAACATAAACTTTTAGTAATATGTACAAGATATGTTTTTTTAACGTCTTTTTTAATTAAAAATAAATGCATATTGAAGCGCATATTTTGATATTTTTTTGATGCATATGTATACGCATATTTATAAGATTTTAAGCACATTAAGTCCCAAGCCCTGGTAATTGGCATACTAAGGTCCCTACCTAAGTAATAGTAGAGTATTGTAGTAATGTTGTACTGTACTAGAATTGACAATTGTTGTAACATTGCACGGACAAGTGATGGCTTATAATTAGAGGTCGGATTTTTATGATTTTACATATTTGTTTCTAGTCTATATAGTTAAATGGGAGTGAGAAATCTTCACGAATCATGAAACACAGAATTCACAGGAAAAAATTTATTTTGCATAAAAAAGCATATTTTAGGGGTTAGAAAATATTTAACACGTTGGAGAATATTTGAGAATATTTTTGTAATATCTGGCATATAATGAACATATTTCCCGTATATTAGCACTTTGATAAATAAAATGTTCACTAAATGATTTATGTCTGGGTTTTAATAAAAAGGTATTCCATATCGATTGCGATAGCACATCGGTTATTTCGTTAGCCGTCACGACTATCCATTGAACATATATAGTTATTAATTGTTATTGTAAAATAAATTTAATTAAATATATTTAAAACCAAATTAATAAAAAATAAATTTAAACGGAATTTTTTTTTAATATTAAAAGAATATTTTGCATATTTAAGGACATAAAACATCATATATCTGGTATTTTAAAGGAATATTAAGAGAATCTATTGCCTATTTTATGTTACATAAAAATATCATATTTTAAGGATTTTAAGAGAATATAAATCCGACCTCTACTTATAATAATTCAATGGTTGTATACCTACCTACTTTTAGTTTGTACACATCAATTAAACTACGTACCTACCTACTTGATGAAAATAAATGTTTCATAGTACATAGGTAAGTAATAAATATTAGGTATAAATAATTGCTAAGTCTATTAATAATCTACACAAATATTGAAATATAATTGTATTAACATCACAATAATTGGATTTCGGATAGTCCAATCACTCATCCGGCGTGTTCAGCGGTCTCCGTACAAGGACTCCTCTCCGTACAGCTGCAGCAGTCGTTACTCATAGGTACCGTCGGAGACGGGTCGTTGCCCGTAGCGGTGATCCTAGTAATGTGTGAGGGGCATATATCCCCTTATAAAGTCGGCAACTGTCATTTCCAGTCGACATTTTACAGCAATACTCTGGTAGTCGGCTAGTATAATAGGTACAGTTTTAATATAATGTAGACCGCATAGTAAAATACGCATAGAACCCATAATACGCCATTTTATCATCGTTTATTAAAACGAATTAAAAATATTTTAAAAATAATAGTTTAAAAACCACATTTAAGTACATTATTCCCCTGATGTATACTGCGTAAGGTCTAACGCCCTTCTTTTTTTGCACCAGACAACTGCTGGACTCGTGATCTCGTTATCCAGTGTTCACCATTTCACTATAGGTACCACATTTATGAGTTATGACATGGTAATGTTTCGGCATGAATGCAGTTCAACTCCTAAAGGAATTTTGAACTTCGTTTTTTCAAAATGTGTGTTCTCGTATGCTTCATTTGATGGTACTTTCAAAAAAAGTCTTTCAAATTTTATTTGGAAATAATTATGGTAAAAAAATCGTAACGCTTGATTTGTTGAAAAAAATCGTGTTTTTGAGTTTAAAATACCAAAATTTATATTTTTGGAAGTTTGGAAATGTTAGTATTCATGTGCTTGAGATGTCAGTGAAATCTGAATAATAATTTATCATACTTACTTTTTATGTTATGTGTAAAACTTGATAATACAATTATTTTCAACATTTGTATATTAAAGTACATAACTCAAAATTGGTTAATTTGAAATGAATCCATTTCACCAGATAATCAGCCCTGCCCCCGTCTGAGATTTTTTGTTTTAATTACCATAAAAAATCAATTTTTGGTTAATTTTTAATATCCTACAAATCTTTGGAATAGGTAACTGTATGATTAATTTTTCCGTGGTTTATTAACAATAATATATTTATAAAGCCAGCATAATTATAAATTTATAACACTTCGGGTCGTTTGTTTTTCATTATATTGATAATTGATTGTACATTATTACATTAACTACGTGTAAGCACCTATAATATTATATATTAATAATATAAAAAATAATATATTATTATAAATTATAATGTATCAAGGAGGACTTAGATTTCGATTTGTCTTGTGGAGTCGCTATATTATTAAACAGGAGCAGCCGAGCAGGGACTATGAATCTCTCCACCGCCAGGTCACCTAATTTAACCATTAGATAATAGTTAAATAAGCGATAATTGGTGCCTAGTTGGTACGTTGGTATATATTATGGTTTATTATGAACTGGGAAAAATTAGTCCATTCTCAAAAAAAAGATTAATATAATATGCAATAATGATTGAAATATAATTGTAAATTGTAATATCAATGCAACATTTAATTTTCGATTCTCAACTTGGCTATGATTGTTTTGGTTGTAGTGGTGTGCGTTCTTTTTGTCAAAAGGTAATTTTTATAGTTAAAACATCCTCCGACTGAGGAAAGTTTTTGGTAGAAAATTATTTCTAGTTTGTACAATTGTACTTTTAGGTGGGGTGGAGGAAAATACTAGCATTTTTCAAATTAAAAAAATAAATATTAAAAATGGTTATACAAGTTTGTTGTTTTTTTATTTAACAGATAATCTTTAATGTTTAGTTTAAATAAATAATTTAAACAAGGGTTATAATTTTCTAAAATAGACCTAATCGACTTAATTAGGAGGACGCTAAACAGACATTTATTGTCTCCGTCTAAGTACGTAGCATACCAAATTTTCTGCTCAGCAGATCATGTTTAGCTCTGTGAGTTTAAAAATTAGAGTGAATTCACCTCTTATAAAATTTAAAAGTAAGATTTCTATCCAGAGCATCTCATATTTTAATTTCAAAATGAGTTATGATTATTTTTTGATGTACAATTTGCAATTTTAAACTCAACTCTTTTATTTCATTTTTAATACACGGGGATGTATATTAATAATTAATATTATCATACAGTATAATTATTATACTCTCGTTGAAGAACACTTTTCTTTTCTTATAATTTCACTGGTTTGGTTTTTATTTGAATTATAAGTTATATATTTTAAATATTTGATAAATGTTCATTCACACAACAATTTTTTTCACTGTCCAATTATAATTCAGAGACATTCACTGTGTAAAATGTAAATAATAATTTAGACAATCTTTGTAAAAAAATACTAAAAATTAATGTTGATAGATAATTCATTATTATACATCAAATTATAAAAATCACCAGATTTATTTATTTTTTGACTTATAAACCGAATTGAACATGTTGTAAATGTAAAAAAAAAAACAAATTGTTCCAGAGCTTAGGAAATTATTATAAATTAACACCTTAGATACACATAACCACACAACAGATTGTTTTATTTTTTCACAACAATAAAATAGAAAAATAGATTATTGTATAAGTATGTTAAGAGTTTATTCATTTTTAAAATGTATCATTAAGATTTATGAAAATCAAAAACATTATCCATGTTTAATAATGTAATGTGATCAACGCCGACTTGTACGCTTATAATATTTATCATTATTAATTTGTATCTGCAGTGGAGACACAGAACGAGCGTTATAACGATGACTGTGTTTTCTATGAGGCCCAAGTCTACTCTTAACATGTCTTTTTTCATACACATCTTCATCGCTTGTGTAATCGCCATCATCTTCATGTAAATACTGGCGACGAGGAATATCTCGACGAGTTGCACGGCTAAATGGAATATCAGTGTATTCCTCATCATTAACATCTTCAATATCTACTTCAAGCGACTCATCATCAAGATACTGATGCGATTTAGCAGCACGAATTGCTTTGGCTACTTTAGCAGACACCAAACGTCCATTGAGACGTTCCCGCAAGTCGTTGGCTATATTTACTTGATGTCTAATATAAAGGAATAAAATGTAAATGAAAACATCTTATTTTAATGCATTATTCCTAGTTAATCAAACCTTGAATTTGAACTTGAATTCAGACGCTTTCTAGTGGTAGCTTGTGTTTCATCGTCTGCATACATACGCATTCTTGGTATTTTGCTTTCTCTATACCTAGCATCATTATAATCATCGTCGTCATCTTCACTAGCTGCACCTGATGATGATGTGGGCGGTGGTGGTGATGGAGTCCGTACTTTGGATTTGTCTACAATGATTAACCACAAACATATCACTTATGTAAGCATATAATACAATTTTATAAGACGTTACATCAGAAATGTTAGAAGATGCTTATTCTATTTAAATTTTATACCAAATGTCTTATTATTATTCTTAGACATATTTAAAATTTTTAATAAATATTATGTTTATTTATAAACTGTTCACACTCAAAGAACAAAAATAAATATGTTGAAGTAAAAAGTCACTGGTCACTAAGTTTTTTTCTCTTCAAATAAATGTACTTATAAAAAAAATTACTAGTTAGTGTTAATATTCACTTTGTCAGTTTTACAATATTTACAATCCATTTAGGTTATAAACAATTTGTTAATTTAAAATGTTTGATGAGTGTTCATTAATTTTTTATGTACAGTCATAAGATTGTTTATTTAAGATGTTCTCATACCAAGTATTTTTTAAATAGTAATACAATTCAACATGCAATGTCATTAGATGGTTGGAACTTTGGTTACTCCTAAGCAATATATTAAGGATAAATTTTTTTTAAATCCAAATCTATTTGAAATTACCCATCTGTTTTGCAACTATGACCATTAACATTTTATAGGGTTGGTTTTGAGTAACATGTGTATGTGAGTCGAGGACTGCATGAGAAACTAGACATGTAAGTATAAATTGTTTTTATACTATTTAACTTATTTAAGCAAAATTAAAGTGACATGTGATTTACCTTTAACACTAAAACAAAAAAAAACAAAACAAAAAACATACATTTAGCATTATCCATAGCATTGTCATATTGGCTCCAAGTCTTGGCTATTGCAGTCCAAGTATTGATACCTGGATTTTTGGCCAATTTCCACCGAACATCATCTTTCAACATTTCATCTCCGATATCGGGATGGTTGATTACTGGTATAAACTTTCGTTTACGACTGTCTTGGGAAAATAATTCATAATCTACAAAAAAAAAATTTATTTGCACAAGCTTATTTGCATGCTCGAGTATATAAGCATATAAAATAATTTAAAATAATTGTATTAGTGAGACCTCCATCTTCTACATCTGCACTTTTATTCTTTACATCTTGTTTGTCAAACACGGTACTGTATCTCATCAATATGCACTTGGATTTTTCATGTGGTTTAATCGCTTTTCGCCACATACCTGGGGGCAACTCGTAACCCACACAGCTGACATAATCTTCTGATACTAATACCTACAAAACACATAAAACGTGACATAACAAATTAAATTTTTTAAATATGACTTTGCTCTTACATCATCTTGATCCATGTGGTCATCGTTTTGATTTTCATTTAAAGCTCCAGGTTCACTATTTAACTCATCATTAACTGCAGACGTAATATGTTTTAGCTCGCGTATCGGCCGAGTCAAGTCCAATAAAGCCTTAGTAGGCATTCGATCATCCAGCCATACAACATTACCTAAAAATATCAACAAAAAAGAGTGATGTTAAATAAAACATATATAGAAGTGCTTTAGGTAAGGACTCAAAAAACAATCCACTAACATTCAGAATTTGACACCCATTCTAAAAATTTAGGATCATATTTATCGAAATAATCGATTATATCTTTAGTGGTCATTCCCATGACTCCGTGCAAATGTAAAGCATTCAGCTGAATGTCTTTGTCGTTTTTGTTCATGCCAAGACTGAAAAGCAAAGCACACATTACTTTACTAAACACTACAAAATCTACCATAACATACCTGTTTAGAATATACTGGACTTGTTTGTCTGTGATGTCTGATGAATAATGCGTGGGCTGCTGTTCTGAGTTGGAAGCTGTGGCTGCTTGGAAAGTGTTTCTGTTCAACTGATAGGGAACACATCAGGATCAGTATGAAATTACGTTTGAAAGAGGTAAACACAAAATGAGGCACATACTTTGGGTCTGTTGAGCTGTGCCATCGGCTGGCTGGTTCGCGCCGACGTGCTGTTGTCGGCTGGCTGATTGTCGTCGCTGTCCAACAGCTCGCCGGGTTCCAGAAAGCCCTCCGACAATATGTCATCGGAATCGCTGTCCGCCATCGTAATCGTCGAATGAAGTAAAAACTCCTGTTCCTTATGTTCTAGCTGCTCCTCCTCAAAACGTCAACAACGTTCTCGGTTCAATGCATTTTCGGAGACGTCAGACAGACACGATGATCAAATCGCACTCAGGTAAGTTTCTCGCTCAGACTCGGGTAGCGACTAACGACTAACGAGTCGTTATCAATGACAAAAAATAATGATTGACAAAAATTTTCGTTCACTACGGCTGGAATTTGAGCACCATGAATCGTGATAATACAGATTACCGATAGAGAATAGATACTACGAGCGGGCGTCGTGCACAATATCTACGTATATAGATTGTATGTTGCGCTTTGTTATTTCGCTTGGGCTTCGAAAAAAATAACGTCGGACTCGTGTGTCGTACCGTCACCACTTGCTGTCGGATATCGTTTAGTATTAACGACGACGACCGCAATACGGCATGATAAAACAATTTGTTTATCATGGACGACCGAACGACGTCTTATGACGGCGACGCGTATGGTACGACCATATGACGCCCAATAATCGTTGAAAAAGACAGCATTTACACATGTTATTCGGAATAGAGTTTTTTTCGATCGCTTTATCGGTCAGCTTTAATTCGTACATATTCAGTAATATTTTATTAATATTATTATATATATATTCGTAATAGGCTAGGACAATATTAAACATTTAACGCCACAATTCAGTGAATTTCCGCCCGTCGTGTTGGTAGTAATTCAGAATTCCGTCGCCAGTGGTCGCGCGCTTTATCACTGAATACTGAAAACAAACAATGATACCACCGCATGAACGCCATTTGTTAACACCACAGAATAATATAACAAATACAAAAAATCGCCGCTGCCAATCCCCTTCAGTCTATTATTATACTAATATGTAAATATTTGGGTGTTAACAGGATAAAAAGCACGGTTTTATATATTCTACAACTGTGAAATAAAAAGTAAAGAAAGGCTAATCAATTATCTGCATATTATTCTATATTATATATAAATATATGTGGTTGTTACTTGTTAGTTGTTACCTTAGTTGTTGTAAATGTTGTCCCTTATTAAATAGCCACGAGCAGGCATAGCAGCGTGATATAATATTATTTGAAGCAATTGCTTCATAGCTTCATAGCTTCAACATAGTAAATTATCATTTTGATGTAATAAAGGGGATGGAAAAATATTAAAAATGTATAATTTGCTTCAGAGTTTCAGACTCAAAAATAAAATTCTCTATGTACACATAAAAATGACATCACTACTATCCGACCCGCATTCTGGCGGATGCGACGATTAGGAATCTAGGATGTCCCCCCCCCCCCGATACAGTGGACGTAAGTAGTTTAGGACGTATAAGTACTCTGATGGACGCTGCACGGCAACCGTCGGAGATGTCACCGAACCACGATCTTCTCACATCCCTTGACACCACGGGCGGGTACGGCGATCACGACATTACAGGACCACCCACAGAAAGTGATTCCAGGGCGGCGGACTCCGGTCGGCCCGCGAAACCAACAGCAGCGATCAACGACGCTCTAAGCGATTTTTGTTTTTTTTTGTTTTTTTGAATGTTAGCCCATCGATCTCCGCTCCCAGGTGGACAGTGTGGACACGTACCTTGCGATAGGGAAAGTCCACTTGGTAGCGAAGAAGGGCGCATCCCGGGATGCTTATTGCTGTAAAACTACCTTTTTTTGCACAATAAACGATGGTGACCGGGGGAGAAGCAATGCCAACACCAGTTCCTCCCCCGGTTCTCGATAACAAGGAAAAACAAAAGGTACTTTGATGGATTGTTAATTACAATTAAAGATACCTTTTTAATCAGGCAAGTAATTTAGGAGATCGCTTCTCCCAAACACCGTATTGTAGTAACTAATAAGTAATAATTAATAAAAAAAAAAAATAGTAAAAATAGAATTATGATTATGAATTTACGTGAATTTACGCTTACCGCTACTCCACCACAAAAAAAAATGAATCTCGGAAAAAAAATTTGCTTCATTGAGTTTGCAAAGTTTATTTATACATAGTTGTACATCTTAAATGGAGACATCAAATGTCAGTGTAACAGCCCCTTAATAAACGCTATTACAATGTTATACCAACTGACCAAAAACATCCCACATTATGGAAATTGATTAGAAAAATTAAAAACCAAATTAACACCGATTGAGCCAAGTTAGCATTGGATACTTTTGCTTTAGGTGAACCCGAAGGGAGTAGTACAAAAAGAGGCCGCAATAACTCTATCGACATCCGACTAAAAATGTTAATTAAAAGACAAAATGAAAATAACCTAAACGGCTAATCATAAGAGATTTTTAAACGGGTGTGACTGTGATTAATAACATACGCAAGTGAACTGATTAGCTTGCAAAATATGTTCTAAGATCCAATATTTTTTCATTCAAATTTTGTATATTTTTACTATAATTTATTATTAATATTGACAGATGTATCCAACATTTAGGTATAGCCTTGAAGATTTTTTTTCCGATTACCAAAAAAAATAAGCACCTATTTACATGCCTGCTTTTTTTGTTGCTTGATGGAATTAAAATATAGTACAATTTAAAATAAACTTTTTAATATGATTTTAATACCAAATAATATAATACGGGAAATAAACTAGTGACTAAACTTGAGTTTTTAATCTGCTACGTGGTAGTACGTATACTACTACTGATATGGCTAAAAATGACTTGTTTCCATGTTTTTTATAATAATACTATTATATTATAATTACTTCATCAACAACGTGCATTTGAATGCATAAATGCATTAGTGATTGATGTTCACTTATTTAGTAAGTTACTAAGTTAAATGTTGTCTCCGTCTTACCAACTTACGACATAGCAATTCTCGTTCACTAGTTTGAATAGTGAGCTATTAGTTTTGATGTCACAACACAATGAATTGATCTATTATCAAAGTTCTAGGTAAGAAAATTAATACATTATCTATGCTTAAGCGTCGACAAATTGTCGATATTTTCATTTTCAAGCAAGATACAAATATGTGAAATAACACAAATCAAAAATGCTCATATCTCGCTTGAAAATTAAAATATCCAGAAATCCGCTGAAGCTTAAGCATAGATACTGTTCTTACCTAGAATTTTGATAATAGATCAATTCATTGTGACATCAAAACTAATAGCTCACTATTCAAACTAGTGAACGAAAATGTTCCATGTACGTGTGTAAGACGGAGACAACAAATGCGCCTCTAAAAAAATACACTTGATAGTTTTTGCTAATGTATATTATTATTACCCAGTAACATACCTTTACCAGTTCCCATTGTTTTCAGAACTTTGGTCTTGTCCTTTCGAAAAGATCCTACCAAACTCATGGCTTTTTTTTACCTCTTCAAATATTCTTATTTATATTTTTGGATATTTCTAACCCAAGCTTCTTGTTTTTTTATTTTAGAAAAATAAAACTCATGACTTGAATACCGTAAAACAGGTTTCATTTCATACTCGTGAATTAACTCGTTACAAGCTTCATTGTTCCACTCCATGGCTAAACATAGAACTTATCCAGAACTTAACCTGTTAGCAAGACTGGTGCAGAACAGAGCGCGTGTAAAGTAATACAATCGAAAATTCGTCCAAACGGATCAGTGAGTCGGGCAATTATGTATTTATGTCTTCGAGCAATCCACAAATAACCGACGACAATCGGATGGCTTTGACGCGTTCGCTGTGCGTCACGAGCATTCGCGCGTGCTCGAGATACCGTAAATCGTAATAAGCATAGACCTGATAATAAATTATTATTATTATTATCAGGTCTATGGTAATAAGTAATAACAATGGGAATTTGTGCGACGCACGGGCAAGCACAAAGCTTGAGCGTTGTGCGGGCTCTCCTACTCTCATGTGGGCGTGCCTTAGACTACTAAAATTATAGAGAAGGCATTATGCACGAATCATTAATAATATGATACTATTACACATTTACACATGACTAAATATTTATTTAGTCGTGCTATTACAGACTGTAATAATATCAAGCTACGAACCAAGTGTGAGTTGAGTAACTGAGTAAGTGACACTAGAAAATTAGTACCTACCTATCCTACCTTATACATATCTAGTTTTCATTATGAAGTACCCAATAGTAATAAATAGGTACTGTTACAAACTTTTTATTGAAATAAACTCATAATTTTCAGTAACTAAAAAAAATTCAGGTATGTTTTATTGTTTTATTTGCCATGTAATAGACCGACACTATTGACTAATCTAATAATCTACCACAGGGGCTCTCCAGAATATTCCTGTGGATAGTATGAGTAATGTTCAAAATTCCAATGGACAATCTCCGATTGTACCGTTTTCTCCTATGGAAAAGTCTACTCTTACAGAATCTTTGCAACAAGTACCAGTGGTGTTACAATTTCAGCAACCATCAACTACTTCATTTCAAATCCTAGAATTTTCTAAACATGTGTGTATAAAAACTTCTGCTTTTAAAATTATTCATCCTAATATTGGCTGTGTGTTAGCCTTGAATAATTAACCACAAACGCCACCAGTAAGATAATATATTAACATAAGCTAAATATCCTTCTCAAAAGGATGTTCCACCGCAAGTGTTGTTTCCATCTTACACATGGACAAGGATGACATAGCACATTTTTGTTCACCAGTGTCAATAGTGTACTGTAAGTTTTGATATTGGAGAAAATTGACCTATTATACAATTTAAAGGTAAGATTATTATCTAGAGCCCCACCCTGGATTTTTTAGGTGTTATTATGTTTAAGTAAGTTATGGTCATTTTAAAATGTACAGTTTCAAAAAGGTCCTAAGCATAACTTACTTAAAAATAATGATATCAATAAAAGCCTATGTGAGGCTTTAGATAATAATCTGAATTTCACATTTTATACAAGGTCAATTTACTCTTATATCAAAACTAACAGCCCACTATGAATACAGAAACAGGTAAATGAAAATTTGCCATGTACCACCCGTACGGCCGAGATAATTCAGTGGGTGCGACATGAGCATTAAGCTTTTTTTTTTGTGTGAAAATAGTTTTTTTAGTACTGGCCTTTTTACAATATAGAATTATAAAGTTTAAAACATTTATTTAAATAAAATACTGTATTTTTACAATTTATTAAAATATCCTTTTTGGAAACTTTCTTATAAAAATGTATGTTAAATTATTTATTATCCATATAATTTTCATAATTTTTTTCACATATTTAACTTGTATCAATGTTTCATTTTCATCTGTCAGATGTCTGTGTTGCATCATGTATACATATATTTTAAATATATTTCAGAATAATGGAAGAAAAAATACATTCTGTAATGAGTCCCAATCACAAGTCAATAAACTGGCATGTGAAAGTACTTTAGTACCCGCAAAAGCCATAGAATATCATAAAGCTCAGGTAAATAAAATTAAAAATAACTAAAACTTATAATATAAAATAGCATGCTTATTTAAAATTACCACACAGTCAGATACCATTCATATTTTTAGTTCACTATTCAGATAGTATTTATGAATTTTTAATTAAATTCTATGAAATTTTTATGTTGAGTTGAGTTGCGAAAAATAGATTAATTTAATGTTTCTACATTGTTTAATAAATACAATGATACACAAAGTCATGTTTAAGGTACATATATTATTATACTTTTCATTCATTAGATTTTTAGTTGATAATAATAAACAATTCAATTAATTTTAAATGTTAAATTAAACTTGCGCATAACAAAAAACCGTTATCCGTACAATTTAAATGGCGATGTTGACATTTTTAAACTAAAAATAATATTAAATAATTTATTTTGTGCACATGTAAATTTTTTTTTTATAGAATTTCAACAGAAGCGTTCAATCACTTTTGAATAAAATAACTTTAAATAATATGCCTTTAATAATTGAGTGTTTTAAGGCATTGCCAATTGACACTATTGAGCATCTGGAGAAAACTGCTGATTTCATTTTTGAAAAGGTAATACAAAAATAAAAACCTTTTACTTCTATGGTACTATTTTATTGAAAGTGTTAAACAATTGTTTTATGACTAAAATATTCAATTGATAAATCATTTATTTTATTTCAAAAACACCTTTTTTGTACAAATACAAAATCTGTGTTAAATGTTTGTTCATTGAATTAAGTTTGGTAACAATGATTGATCTATACTTGGTATTCTAGTTTTTAAATTTAAGTAGTATTAATACTTGTAGAATTACAATCCCAAAGAACATTTTGATTCATTGATTATTATTATTATTATGCCCTTCATTAATGTAAAATTTTTAATTTATTTACATTAATGAACATACATTTTTTTTTCAGGCAATAAATGAACAAAGTTTGACTCCTGTGTATTCATTTTTATGTTCAGCTATGCAATCAGTAGTAGTTGGTTATAAAGATGGTAAAACAGCATCTTTTAAGAAGTTAATAATAAGTAAATGCCAAAGACTATTTGAATTAGACAGGGCTAAAGAAATGGATTCCGATAGAAAACTTACTGAAATCAATTTGTGCAAAGATCCAGTAATTACGACATCATATAAACTCGGTAAAAAAAACTCATTGTTAATTTGTTATGATTATAATTTTTAGGAAAAGAAGAAGGAACTTCAACTTGAATTTGAAGAAAATGAAAGAAGATTACTCAAACGTTCTATAGGAAATTGCCGGTAATAAAAAAATAATAATAAATAGTAAAATAAAGAAGTTTCCATAATTTGTGTGTTATGTTCATAGATTTATTGGTGAATTATATAAACAAAAAATACTTACCCCAAATATTATATTGTACTGCATTGTGAATTTGGTAAAAAACCATGATGAAGTATCACTTGAGTGTTCATGCAATTTGTTGAAGACTGCTGGTGAAGAATTGGAACAAGTAAATTTACATTTGATTTATTGTGTTAAGTTAACTAGAAATTATAGTTTTAATTAAGTATTTAATTTTTTTTTCTTCTGGAATTAACTCTATATTATTTTTTAATAATAATACAAAATAAATGTAAACCAAATACATTTCTAAAAATGTATTTATTAAAATCTGTTTATCCATTGAAGATCATTTAATATTCTTAAGTTTTGATTAAGCTTAAAAATGAAGAATACTTTTAATATTTAAATTTATCACTCACATTAATAGTAATTTTGAGAAAAAGAACTTTTATGGTAGAAGCATAGCGGTGGTTCAATAATGTTTAACCGAAAATTGATGTTCTGGCATCCTATTTTAAACTAGTTTTAATATTAGAATTATTTTCTCATTGTAAAACTTAAAAGTAAATACCGTATATTGGTTTTTATAATATTATAATTTTTAAACGCCATTGAGAATTTTGAATGTTACAATTTGGAAATTAAATTATTATAAATAACCAAGTTACTTGGGAAATTTTCTTACTTCTAAACTTAATTGACTATGCATATTTTATTGTTTGACATTTCAGTGTTACTGTTTAAATGATACTTTTGATAAACTGAAAGCTTTAACATCCAGAGGCATGAAATCCAAGATTCCACCTAGAATAAAGTTCATGATACAGGATGTCATCGAGTTACGTAGAGGTAAATGGATATCTGAAAAGAAAGATCATCATCCTGGCTGTAACAAATTCAAGGGTGGTGAATACAAAAAATGCTGTATGTATCTTGAATTTGTGTAAATAAACAAGTAAATATTATAAGCATTCATATATTTAAAAAATAATGTTATTTTATAGTTTTTTTTTAGATGTTTTTAAATGATTTATTTTGTCAACTTTTAATATGTTAAATTAAATTATTGATTAATATAATAGTTAACATTTAAATGTTATTTTTAGGTAGAAATGATAATAACTGGAATGTTGGTCCAAACAATACTAAGTATAAGCAACAAAATTACACTATTGATCCACCTAAGGTTTTAAGGCTACAAAATGTCAAGGTAATATATTATATTCAATACTTAGGGTACAACTTGACTAAAGTATTAAGTAAAATCAATTTTCTTAGAAAATTACAAATGTGACAACCTTAGATCCAGCCAAATGGTCATTTAACGAGAGTAAAAACATGAACTATAATATCAGTTACTTAAATACAGTTCTTAATAATAATAAAAGATCAAATTATCCACACATGTAAATATATTTATTTTTTAAGTTTTTAATTTATTTTTATTAATGCTTTACATTATTTTCAATAAATAGACTCAGTGTGTGAAAAATTATCATCATAGGCATTACATTATTTTCAATAAATTTTACAAGTTCACAGCCTGGCGGAACTGTTAAAGAACCAGTGCCAGGATTGATCACTAATTACTTAAACTCAGAAGTAGTTGGTAAAATTAATATCAAATGTAAAAACATCCTTTACGAATATGAGCAAATGCAAAATGTTGATGTATGTATCTAATACAATAATATTTAGTCAATGTAAATTATAATTGTACCTATATAATTTGAGTTAAAATCATAATTTAAATTGTGCTTTCTTTATAGAATATAATATATTCATTATCAGAAGATAAATCTTTAGTGTTCATCACAAGGCATTATGAGTTTGTGAAATCACTGTGTCTGTCAGTTATAACTTCAGACATTAATCCTATTACTCGAACAACATTGGCAGGAACCATTTTGGCAGAACTTTTATCTAAAAAAATCCTGTCTATGAAGGTTATCACTTTAGGGTAATTATTTATCAAATATTAAATAACATCCTTATTACTATAATTTTTTTTTCATTTGAAGAATTGATGCTGTCCTTAAAGATTGGGATGATTATTTGATGGATTACCCTCTTTTTTTCTCTTATATTGCTGCCATTATTGGTAATTGTTTGATTATGCAATTATTTGAATTATACCAACAATCCTACTTTAAATGTTATTTTTACAGCTCCGTTATTATTATCACAGAATGCTTCCTTCGATTTCAACAATTTAAAAGATTCTTGTACATCTATACGACCAGACAATTCTAGTATATTTTTTACCGAAGTATTAAATGAAATTCATAATTTCAAGGAAACACAGAACATTAAAGAAGTATGTGACAGTGTAGTTATTTGTTCTGTTCTTCTATCGTGCAAAATAAAAAAAAATTGTTATCTTAAGGTTTCTCATATTTTTCATTTACTCACGACTTTTTTTTTTGGATTGCACCTTATGCATTTTGTTTTTCTTGATACTTTAATTTTATTGATATAACTTTGCTCATGCGCCATGTTTAGCACTTCTTAATTGTGCCATATGACTATGCTTTATATGGATAGTACAAATTTCTCATTTATGAGAAACTATTGGACTTATCACTTCTGCCATGGGTGTTGCATTAATGTCACTTTTTAAAGAGCTTATAGAGCACCAATATAAGAGTTATACATATTCTAAACTTTTAATGTGGGTCCATGTACAAGATTTTTGCTTTAAGAAGACGCTACCCATGCATTTGTTGTCTTCGTCTTACACACTTATGCAAAGGTGGGCATTAACTAGTTAAAAAGTTAAAGTTAAGTTAAAAAGTTAATTTTTTTTTAACTTTTTAACTTAACTAGTTAGTTTGTTTTCTAATTAACTTATGAACTTAACTAGTTTAATTTACAGTTGAAATAACTTAGCTATTCTCAGTTGATTAAAAAAAAAAACCAATAAGTTAAAAACATTTTGAAATTTTTGTTTATACGTAAATATTACTATATCAGTATAAAATAAAAATAATCCAATACTATAATAACACAAACATTTCTGTACTTTTTCTTGATAACATAATTTTTTGTATATTAATATATTATATTTATTAGAAAGGCAATAAGTTATTATCATTTTATAGTATTAGATGTTTGCAGTACAAATAAGTAATAACAATAATTTTTTATCGATAAGAGAATTACAGCTGACCACTAGATTCTGAAAATTGGAAAGAAAATTCTAAAAATAATTTGAAAACTAAATTATCGTTTAAAGTAAATAGGTATAGAGTATAGACGTTATAGTTGTGTATAATATATACATCATAATTGATAATATTATGCTGGTCTATACTTGTATAATAGTTAAATAAAAAAGTTAAATCAAATTGATTGATAATTTATAAATTAGAAACTAGAAAGACACATTCACTCTTTATGTGGTTTACTTAAAGAAAATAGATTAACTTTTTTTAAACTGAGTTAAGTTAATTTTTTTTTCTATATTAACTTTTAACTTATCGAGTTCAGTTTATAATTTGTTAACTGTTAACTTTTAACTTATCGATCTTGTGTCCTCTTAACTTAACTCAACTTGAGTTAATTATTTTCATTAACTTGCCCACTTTTGCGACTTATGACAGACATAGAACATTTTTGTTCCCTAGTTTGAATAATGCACTGTTGGTTTTGCTATTAAAATGAATTGACTTATTATCAAAGTTCAAGGTAAGAACAATATCTATGCTTAAGCTTTGGTGGATTTTTGGATATTTTAATTTTCAAGCGAGATATGAGCATTTTTGATTTGTGTTATTTCACATTCTCGTACTTGCTTGCAATTAAAATATCAAAAATTGCCAATGCTTAAGCATATATAATGTTCTTACCTAATGTTTGATAATACTTAAATTCACTCTAATATCCAAACTTACTACAAACTATTCAAACTAGTGAACAAAAATTGGCTATGTCGTAAGTTGGTATGAAGGAGACAACAAACGCGTAAGTAGCAACCTCTTAACAGCACAATTAGCTTGTCTCTCAACTCTTAATGTGTTAATATCACTATTTTTTGTAATTTTAGCAACTAGGTGGTATATTGTGGATTTACAATAAGTGGATTACGTCAGAAAATGTTTCTCTTGAACTTTTTATGTCCAATAACCAAATAAATAAATATTTAAATAAAGTTGTAAGTAAGTTTTTAAACATAATAAATGCATGTATTTTTTATTCTATTGTATTTAATTTATAATGTAATGTTTACTTAATTTCAGCAAGTTGGAGTATTCCTTTTATCTATTGCCATTTATGATAAAATAATGTTGACTGACAATAAACTACCGTATGTTTTTTTGCAGAGCTGGATATATGTAAGAAAAATAATCAAACAATCAATTTAAATTATTGCATTGTATTTTAAATTATGCATGTTAAATTAAATATTGTTATTAAATCATTTTTTTTAAATTTAGACCAATTTCGGTGAAGAAATAATAAAAAGCCTTTTGTTTGTGCAAGCATTAACTATAGCTATTGTCATTGTATGTGTGAGTAAGTCACTACTTTTGAATCTATAATAAAATAGTCACTCAATTATTTAACATACATTTTTTATTTTATAGAGTTGAATCTCCCATACGAAGATTTCTTTGATCATGCTCATGTGGAATTGTTGAGACGTTGTATTGAATTTGAACCACTCTCAGGACATGAAATCCAGGCACGAGAAGTACAATGTATGCACGGCATTCAAATAATGTCTGCTACTCTTAAACATCCTAGAGGTTAGTTGTTAATATTTAATTTTTTGTTTCATTAATAATGTGATACTGTTTTTCGATTAGGAATGGTATTGAAACTGTTCAATAAGCTCTATCATCATAGAATTATAAGTAAAGAATCATTTGAACTATTCATTCAAGAATATGAAGAATTAGCTGGAAAATACTAAATACACTGTGTATTTTCATCAACCATCACAAAATATTCTGTTTTTTAATTAAATTTTTTTTAGATATTATGATGTAAAAATTTATTTAAATAACAAAAAAAGTTCTAAATATTTAATTTATCCATTTTTCATATATTTCTTTTGGAATTCAATGATTTATTGATTTATAATTTTTCAAATATTTGTAAATGGTTTTTAAATGGTTTTAGATTTTGTGCGTAGCGAATGAATGTATTGTATTTACAACAATGTAGGTTTTTTCTGTCTGTCAACAACGTTTATGGTAGTAAAAATGTTCCAATTTTTGATATCAGCATCTTTTGAGATAGTGAATCTAGTTAGTACTTTTGAGAGGTTAAAATTGAAAATGACCTGTAGTTTTTGAAAGCTGTAATTTACCTGGGAAACCAATTTTGAAAAAATCAGTTTTATTTTTTTGGTATAATTTAAAAACTTATAATTGTGGACACATGATATTTTCACCAAAATAATCTCATAATTTAGTTTTATTTCTAAGATCTAAAATGAATACAAATTTAACAAAAAAACTTATCTGCACTCTTATATTTATCACTGATTTCAGACTTCAGTTAACTTTGGGTTATTCTCTATTGTGTTGAACTTAATTTAGTATGTAAAAATTAAATTTTTTCATCGGGTTTTAAAACATTTTTTAATATTAACAAATATTTTTAAACAAGAAAAAAAATTGGTAGTGCTTCCTAACCCTAAGTAGACAAAACTTGAACCGATAAACAAGGAATACAAATAACATTTTATTATAACCAAATACTCTGTACAGAGTTTTTGTTATAACTGTAAATAATGTTAGTTTGCAGAGTTTAAATTTGTATGTACAATTGTTTTTATAAAATATCTGCCACCTTATATTTTCATTTAATGTTGTTACTTAGTGAATAAAAAGAATTGGAACGACTAAAGTACAGCTATTTAAATTACAAGATGTGTGAGATTGGAATGGTAATTTTATAAAAATGTAAGTGGGTATGTTTTTATAAGTTGGTCATTTGGGTTGGCTAAACATTTTGCCCCCTCTAGTGAAAACTGAAATGAGCTACTGAATTGTACCCGATAAGGCGATAAATAGCCTAGAAATTGTAATGATGTGCACATAGGCATATCGCATATCTAGGTATAAGCTCATATCTTTTTTAAATTTAATATTTGTAATAAAATAATTATAATAATTGTTAGTCAATAGTCATTAAGGATAAGAATAAGTTACAGATATTTAATAGGATAAAATATAAAAATAAGATAAATGCACACACACACATGCGCTAGTACACACGCACACACACACGACATGTGATATAAGGAACTAGCAGGCACTCTTTAGTCACCAGGCCAGACTTGTTATTATTGCCTTTTTGTATATACGGTCAGACGCGGATCGTCCATGTCGAAAGGCGTACGCATAATCATATAAGTTAAATTAAGTGAAAGATTTATATTAATTTAAGTCCAGGGCCGTATTTAGGGGGGTACAAGTACAATGGGGACATTTGCACCGGGTGGCCAAATATTGATCTATTTAGGGGGCGGCCGGGCACCGCTGTAACCCGGTGTAGTATTGTATCAATAAATATTTTTTTTTTTGAAAGAATTTGTAGACCCTTGTGAACTTAGCAGTGCAACGATAACGGATAGGTAAGTAGCATAGAATATAATTAATATTATTTTAACATAACCACGGTTGTAGATAGACAACTATGACTTAACCATAATGAATTATAACTAAAAATGTGTTGAGAAGAATAAAAAAAGTGGATCTATTTTTTGGTGGAGGGGGGGGGGCGTAAAATTATGGTTGACCCAGGGCGCAAAAATTGTAAATACAGCGCTGTGTATTTTAAAAGATTAAATACTATTTATAATAGTGAACTTAACAAAAAGATTTTATATTATTTTAAAATACAAATCGGTTACCTCATTTCACACATCAGACGCTAACCACGGTTTCAGTAAAGAAACTGGTACAAGGATTAAAATTATTTATTTTAGATGAAATTGTTATTTAGATGAAATCTTAGAAATTGCTTTCTATTTTATGGTAAATATTTCTATTGTATATCTGATTAGGTTTTGGGGAGGATAGCTGCACTCTTTTTTATTTTAGTTATCATGTTAAACGCTTTATTGTTTTTTTTTTTAATTGTTGGTGTCAATACTGGTGCTATAATATTAAACCGATGCCACCCTGAAAAGTGTCCATGCATATATTTAGGTATATTTATTATATTTACACTTATCCTTGTCTTCCAAAATCTTTAAATATATTATCTAATAGGATAATATGAAATCCGACGTTTGGATAATGGATATGCAGTGAACATCGCAGCTTATTATAATCATGTTTAATGTAATAGTATTATTAACAATTGTACATTATTGTTATCGAAAATTCTATGTTCTGACCGGATGCATGTACTAATTTATGTAAATTACCTCAGTTATTGTGAACAGTAGAGATATACACAGCATCAGTTCAAGGGCTATTTTAATATTTTATAACTGGTCCGTTTTTAGAGTCTATGCAAAATAAACTGCAGAAAGTGAGCTCGAGCCCTGAAACAGACGTTGGAAAACCTCAAAGTCTTGTCGAGTTGAGAGATGAGAAAGGTCTATAGGACTTGTACGAAAAGGAGTTCAATCTATATCATACAATTGTAGAGGACATTATGAATACAAAAGTCTTATAAATTATTAAAACCTGTTAACCGCAATGAAACATTATTGGATGACTAATTTTTAAGTATTAATGTAAAAATAATCATTAATAATGCATTTACATTTTTATGTTTTTATGGGAGAAAGTAACTTAAACTTATTTCAAATTCTACTAATAAAACCAAGCATTTTAAAGGTCTTGCAGCATTTAGTGTCCAAATGGGAATGAAAATCTAACTCGCGGTCAAACGTGATACCTAGGTCCAAAACTTTACTTTCAGCTCGCAATAAAGGATTAGTATTGATAGAGTAGGAAAAATCAAATTTATCACGGGTTCTGTAAAACGACATTGAGTGACATTTCAAGAAATTGAGTTCAAGATGATGTGCATTTGCCAAAGTAACTAAAGAGTTGATATCATTTTGTAATAAATAACAGTCATTAAGAAAATCAATTTTTAAAAATAATTTTAGGATACAAACTGAATTTAGTCTTCTCAGTTTAGTTATTGAAAATATCTTTTTAAAAAATGCTATAAAGGTAATAAAAACTTACAACACACGGATTGACGGATTATAATAAGATAATAGTTATAGTATAAAATATATGCGAATTGCGAGCATACATTTAAAACATGGAGTTCTGACCATTTTTGGACAACTCAAGCTTTACTTAAATATCTATAAAACATTCGTCCCTGCAGTAGGGTTGACTCATCTTGCTGTTTCAATTTTTTATTATTAGTTAGTTGTAAATAATATTTGATATAATATACGGACGGTCATAAAAACTAACATTAATTTATTGTTCTTGGAGCATACCTGGGTAGTATAACTATATATAATAAGATGTAAGTACCCATTATAGTTATTACCTTCAATGCTATTATATATACGTTTTCTTGTTTACCATACTTTAAACTTACTTTAATTATAAAACATATTTCTATTTTTAATATCCCATCAATTATTATTTTTATATTACCAATGATATGGATACAGATATCAAGAAATAGTAACTACTACTACCTACATACTGCTTGGGAAACGACGATGATGGGTGTGTGGTTGTTTTTTTGTATTGGAAGCCACGATAAAAACTATTAATAGTTTAGAATTTATAAGTAATAATGAGCACAATGTCCCTCCGCCAGGCCCGGATTGAGGGAAATATTGGATATTCAGGCACAAACAATAGTGGCCGCCTAGTCTATCGTCTAACCCATTTAGTCTTTTTAGTAAGCATTTGATTTTTAATTACTCATAGTCGTGCCATAGAAACATCTTGTAAAGCTCATTAATTAGTAACTAAGTACCTACCTATACTGAAATTATGGAAGTATTTGTAAATCTTATGTATTATAGGTACCTATAGGTATGTCGTAAAAGTCAAGAAATCTGAAAAAATACTTAAAGAAACACAAAACCATTTTAAAAAATGTTTTATAAAAGAAACTAGATACATGGCACTTTTATATAAATATAAAATTACGTTATTTTAGAAAGATCCAACAAGACCTCAATACAATTTCAAAGAACAAATTATGATCGATAAGCTCTTAGTTTACTTATATGATTGAAGCATTGTGTATCAAGTTTAAGGAAGTGTAGTAGTGTAGTACGTCGATTAAATAATAATAAAAACGTTGTCACAAAATAAGAGAGAATTCTGAACGACACTACACGGAAAAAAATAATTTGGTTATAGTAAATGGTTGTATTTACTTCGGTTGGCCCAACTATATAACGGGTTACCTTTACCAAAATGTTTAGTTGACAGTACCAAAAGTGTTTTGTTGGTCTAAATAATATGCATTTTTCAGTGAATAGTATATACAACCACAGTGTATGGTTGGATATTTTTTTTAACTATTTCAATAGGTTCCGACTACCTTTTACATGGTTGTAACAACAATAATACAAATAAAATATGATATATAAATTTAAAAATAGTTTTATATAAAATAAACCCATATCAGCCGCCCGACGAGCACGGCGTACTCTCTATAGAGAATAGAAAAAAGAAGTTTCCAAATAACTGGTTTTTGAAATCTGAAAGTAATATTTTGATGTACATAGCATAGACATAATAATATATTATAAATATTAAATATATTTTTATGTCTATGGTACATAGGCGGTTGATATGTCAATGGAATAATGCCAAAGAGCTTGTGTCCAAAGAGCAAAAAAAATATTGAAATCTTATATTTATTTACTTGAGCAGGTAATGAGTAATGAGTAAAGACCAATAAATTACCAATATTTAAATTTTGTTATGGGCCTCTAATAAGGGGCCCGGGTCTCTAAATTATCTTAATTCGTTTCCACCCCCTCCCTACCTTTCACGCCGATGGATGTAACAACAAAATGTAATTTTAAAATAATTATGCAAGTTTATATTGATCACTTTGTAAAATAGTACCTATAAAGATCACAAGTAAACTTTGCAATTTTGTGTCACTATTTAAACCATGTACAAATTACCTATTTAAGTATACTTAGTACTTACCTGTTATTATATGCAGGTATAATACGTGGTTTGTCGAAAATAGCTTTTAGTTTAATTGAAACGTTGATAGCTTTGTAATAATTATGCTTTTTGATATTATTATTTTTTTTTTTTACTTAGATGATTTGAACCTGTAATTTTTCAAATTCAAAAATAACACGCAATTTGTTAATGGGTGTATATTACCACAGTCTACCTATTTTGAGTAGAGGAGATTATGAGGGCCAGTGAAATGTAATGAAAACAGTAACAATTTAAAAAAATTCATATTCATATTATTATTGATTTATGTTGATCGATTTATATTAAATGGTTATAGAACGCAGTAAAGTTTGTCTACAGCATATAATGTTTTCGAATCAGTGGATATTGTCAATAAATTATGTTCAATTTCTGAATTCCCCAAAGAATATTATTCAAACTGGAATTATATAAATAAGAAGTTTGATGTAGGTAATTCAAATTGGAATTATGTCAATAATCAATAGTTAAACTAATATTTTATATCGTAACAAAGAATTCGAGAATGGGAAATAAGTAATAACCTAACGAATAACCAACGTCTATAGACTATAATACTTATAAACTATAATATTAGGTATGTATCGAACTGTATCCTACATTATTTGAAAAAAATAATGATGAGATATTATACTGGAATAGTAGAATTACTTATAGGTATTATATTATTATTTATTATATAATATTAAATAATATGAATTTTAGAATTTTAGTTACCTATTGTATACAAACCTTAGATATACCTTTTCTATGATATAAACATTATAATCTCATCTCAATACAATTGGTTAAGTATATATTGAGAATATTTTATTTCGTGTAAGTGGGATAATAATAATTAATATTTAATAATAGTTTTGAGCAATACATTAACAGATCGTACAAGTTTATAACCAATTTATATCGAATAACACATTATGTTGCTCAATATTTTCAACGAGTCGAGATTGGCAATTTGCAGTTTGCAAATTATAGGAATTATTCAGAAAACCAGAACTATATAATAATATATATTCCTAGTGTCCTAGTTTAATACGTAGTAGTTTTATATCGCAAAGGGATATTATATATTTATCTGTGCGAGTCAGTTTTATTGTCAGTATAATCAGTGTAATGTCAGTATTCCGTGAAATACTGCGAACTGTCAAATACTACGAACTGTCATATTATATAATATAGTAACGATAAAATAATTAATAATGTTTGATATAAATATCCAAAGGTGGGCTTATTGGTTAAAAAGTTTGTTTATTTTTAACATTTTAACTTAATTTTAGTTCTTTAATTTTCTAATTAGCTTAAGAACTTAATTATTTTAATTTACTGTACTCCAATATATTGGACATATACGTAGGTACTTAAGAGGACGTAACACTGGCATTTATTGCCTCCATCTTACAAGTGCGTACCATAGCAAATTTTACATTCAGAATATCACATACAGCTTCGTTAGTTAAAAAATCAGAGTGAATCGACATATAATGAAACTTGATGGTAAGAACATAATCTGAGTTTGTTTGTGGTTTTTGCATGTATAAAATAGCATACATTTTTAAATGCCCATAACTTACTTAAAAACTGAATTATCGTAAAAATAAACCCACACGCAGACAAAGATAATATGCTTACCACTTACCATCAAGTTTCATTTATAGGTCGATTTACTCTAATTTTTAAACTAACAAAGCTAAACGTGATATACCTAGTGTAAATTTGGTATGTTACCCACTTGTAAGATGGAGACATCAAATGCAAGTCGTAAGTCCTCTTAAATTTTGTAAATATCAAATATATTAATACAATATGTACAATCAGAAACACATATATTTATTATTGCTGCACAATTTAAATTTGTAGTTACTTTATTATTTTACTAGCTGTTTATAGTTTATAAGTATATATAGATTAGTAGATTACGGGCTTTATTCTTTCAATTTTCGAAATTATAACACAACTAAATTATTATGATAAAATCAACAATGCACAGTTTATTGCCTTTTCACCCCGACGAGTCCATATTACACGATTTTGTTGGGGATTTCATTTATTTTCTATGATATATCTTCTATACGCATGTGTATTCATAAATTAATTGTACTTTTACATATAGGTGCCTATTACTTTTATAACGTATACTCGTGTGTACATAGTCTAACCAATACATCGACGCTTCTCATTATTGCAATAATTTAGGCAAAATAAAAAAATTTAGTTGAATATTGATGTATAAAACACATTCATTTTATAGAACATTATTACTTCAAAATGAACACTATTTTGTTGTTTCAGAGTGGAAAAATAAGTAAAAAAATGGAGTGAGGACATTATAGGTATCATACAATTATCTCGGTAATTAGACAATATAGTATCTATTTGTCTATATCTATACTATACTAATGTCAAATGTACTATAATAGTATAGGTACAAAAATTATACAAATAAATTATATCGACTGTACGTTTGTACCATCGCAGTTTGTAAGACGACACGCCATGTACATATTTTATCATCCTTAGATATATAGATAGCACAAGCTATAAATGTCTTATTACAGTGAAAAAAAATGTTTTGTTTTATGGAGTATAATATATTATTAATATATTGTTTTATATCAAATTTATACTTAAATCTAGTATTCACCTATTAAAATATGTAAATATGTAACATAAACAGTATTTTAATGATAACATTTTTTATATGAACTCAACATATTTTCATCAATTTTTTTTGAAAAAAACCCACGCCACCTCTGTGGCCCTTTGAATACGACCCTGCAAGTCTGGCCAATAACCAAAGTTACAAGTTATTTTTTTAAAAATTATTATTGAATTGAGTTACCTACCTTTTACTTTTAAGATCTCGTATTACATATAACTGATTGCAAGTTATTTTGCAACACATAATACGACAAAATACATTTCAGTTACCTATACTAAAGTAACAAAATGTGCATTATAGGGGCGCTCGTGCCTCGCGGAAATAAGTCGTGTAGTCAAACAACACCAGCGTGTGTGTTTACTGTTTAGTGGCAACTGCCAGCCGTCGTGGCAGACCACCGTCGCGTCGTCGATATAATTACACTTTTTGTACAGGAGATAATACTATTATAATTCAATTTTTTATTATTATCGTTGGGATACATAACACAGCGATCGCGAGCGTTTAACACACCGCCTGTGTGACCTTTGTCGTCACTCGTCATCGTTGTTATTATTATTATTATTATTATTATTATTATTATTCGCAATACCCATGTAAATATGTTATACCTATGTCGATAATATTATGACGTTATTAATATTTAGTAATACGACAGTAATATCGCGGATAGAGAAGACATTAAAGTTTGTAAACAACCCATTACCCATCGGTACCTACGACTATAACCGCGCTCTCCGCCGTCGGCTGACCGGCCACAGTCAACTTGCGCATTACATTATAGTATTTATATAAGATATTATAATATATATTATATACTGAAGTACAATTATTTATTTATAAATTTATTTTTTTGATTAAGTTTTTGTACCGCCGAAAAAAATTAATTTACCGAAATCGCGACCGCTCCTCGAGATCTGCTGTGAAATAAACAATTATTGAACATGTTACATTAAATACTTTATCATGTTATGAAAATAAATTATAATTTAGTTTGAGTGTAATCGTCGTCCGAACAGATTCAATCAATCCGATCCGATCCACAGCAACAGCTTTCGACGAAATTTCGGCGCAATTTATATCTCTCCTCCTATTATAATTATTTATTATTGTTATTATATATTCCTTCTCCGTGAGAAATGTCTTTTAAACATGTAACCAAACTACCTTTGTGGATTCACATTACCGTATATCTCTTATATACTTGCAATTTTTCCGGTGAGTATTATATTTTATATTCAATTATTGTGCAACAGAAACTGAAACTAATATAATATTGTGCTCAGCATCGAATTGATTATCAAAATAAAATGAAAAAGTGAGCCCCCCCCCCTTTAACCAATATTACAGTTAGAGCTATACTGAAGTACCTATATATATATTTAATAACAAAACGGGTTTTGAGTAAACACTTTTTTTTCAGAATATTTTTAAAATTTTAATATTCATTAAGTCTTGGACAATTTTTTACTTTTGACCCCTTGTACCAACTAGTTCCAATTTGCTTCCAAAAACCACTCTATAAGTTAAAAGTAGATGCATTTTCATTGCTCCAATAATGATCGGTACTGTAAATTATAATATATTATAATTTATAGTATAGTTGTTTAATTTTACACGAAAGTGTTGACTTATTAACTTTTATATAATAAACATAAACTACTTTGATAAAATTATCATGTCATTTATTTATATAATACCTGTAAATAATTTCTCTCTTTAGTTTTAGCGTCAAGTCCAGAATATTTGGGATGTTTTTCTAACAATGATTTAAATATTTCAAACGGTTTAATTATACCACTTGCTTCTTTGACACCTCAAGAATGTTCAGACGAATGTCACGCAAACAATTATTCTTATGCTGCAATTAATAACGAACCGTAAGATAAATCAAACGGTATTCTTTTCTTTCCCGTTTCATATAATATTGTTATCCTTGTGTTTATGCATAGATTGTGCCGCTGCACAAATAATTACATGTCTAAATTGACGAAGGAAATGGATGATTATTGCAATGTATCGTGCAGCGCTGCAGGAAACGCTTCGAATGAGAGGTGTCAAACGCGTTTTAAAATGTTCAAAACTGATAATACAAGTATAATAGGTATATTTAAGATAGGGGAGTGCAGACTGCAGATTATTTAATATACACATAAATACACAATGCTTCAAAAGATTAGTTATGTTTTAAATGAGTAATATAGCCATTAAAATACAATATATATACATATTATAATTTAAAGGCGAGGAGAAATATCCTCAAGCGATCTATCTCGGATGCTACGGAGAAAGAATGGGCGACGACAAGAACCGATTGCTGAAATTTCCCCACGAAAGGTATGATGATAACACTCCACAAAAATGTTCCGAAGAATGTTTCAAAATCGGATTTCTGTACTCTGGAACAACAAATGGAGAAAAGCAGGGGTAATATTAATATTTATGTACATGCAATTTATTTATTATACATTTATAATATGTAGGTAACCTATGTATATCATGATAAAATTAATTATCTAGTTATGTGAGTGCCAAATATGGTGTGTTGTGGTTCTACGGACTGAACTATTAATTTTCCAAACTTATTTCATAAAGGTTTTCACTTTTCCCTGTGGTGCCTTGAGGTCTAACGTTAACACCGATCTGCAGGACATTTAGGGAAAACGTTCCTTAGGTAAATTTTTATATTTTAAAAAAAATAATGTATATGGTTTGAAGTATTTATACAGGTTCTACTTATTTACAAAAATAATAATTTTTAAAGGTTTTTAAGAGTTTTCTTGAAAACGTAGTTAGAACACATTTTAATGTCGTGTCTGTTATACTTAAAGTCTTTAAATATGTTATTTTACATAGTTTTTTTTTAAAATGGAGACCTTAAATGATGTCGAAGCGTAGTGTATGTTGTGTAGTGTATAGTGTTTTAAAGACAAAAATTAAAACAAAAAAATGACCACTAAGAAAAAATATTGGATATTGGGCACGGAGATGATCGTTTGTTATACGAAAAATATGGTTTCTTAATAACATTTTATTTAGTCATAATAGGTGAAGCAATGCATTATAAATATAAAAACAACTTTGTGTTTAAATTCTGAGATTATTATAATTATAGGATTATAGTTGTTTATGGATTCGATGACTCCAATAGTGATCAGACGATCAGCCATATAATCAATCGGAAAATAATAATTAACTCGATAATATATAGACAAAAATTTGAAATTTTTATTATAATATGCATATTATGGTTGATATGATTTAAAATATAATATAATACATAAGACAGATGCCTGTCAAGTAAACATCATGTTTTGATACACAGAATATGACGAGTTATGGTTATCATAAAAAGTCCTCATGGCCTCATGTTTTATCTACATTTTTATTCGACATCTATAAATGTCTAGTATCTAATATCCACCCAAGTAAATCTATGTGACTGGGTGCAAAAAAAGTAATTAAAATTGTTTTTGTATATAACTACGCCCATAGACTTGTACATCGAGTGCTTCAATCATAGTTATAAATGATAATATATGTCGAGAATTGAGATGAAGTGTTATGTTTGTATTCAATGGAGTATACCAAGATCTATGTTTTTGTTAACCATGAATAGAATATTATTATTGTATACGATTTTCACACAGTGCCAATTGTATTATTTAAAATACTCAGTGGAATTATTTCGATATTGCGTTTCAAAATATATATTTTAGTGCATGTTTGGTAGATCCGCAGATGACTGTATAATATTTAATGGATAATATGCTAATGTAATTATTTCACTGGAATATTACTATCCAAATGTTTTGAACAATAATATAATTGAAAAACCTGAGTAAGACTTTAAAATTCTTATTAGAATAAATTCTAATCGCAACAGTCCTGCATACAAAACATGTATGTATAAGTAGGTAGTAATAATATTAATAATAATATGATATGTAAAAAAAAATATCCAATATTTAATTAGTTAATATACTACAGGATATTAGATTTTATAAAATGTAAACTATTGACATCTGGGTGTAAAAGTTGTTTCTATTTTTCTTTCGTTCCGGATGTTTTAAATTTATAGTCACACATGCGTGCAACCAAAAGTGTATTTATTTTTCATTAAAATATAATATAGGTACCTATTTGTATAATTTAATACTTTTCGAATATTTTATAATTTATGTAGGGACGTATATAGTTCAACGTCGTTCACGAGTAGTCAGAATTTAGAATAAAAAAAAAAATCGTCAAATTCTGTTGAAACCAATTTCTCAACCAAAACATTATAATACAAGCATAATAATAAATAAATGACATATTATTACCATGAAAGTATCAATTATCAAATAAATAAAAATAAATAATTATTAAATATCAAATTAAATTTCATAGTATCTAGTATAGAATATAATAAAAATTACATTTATTTTTTACAACGACCATATATAAACTTAAAATTATAAACTGCAAATCAAAACCAAACTTAAACATTAAACGTGCGCTTTGGAGTATTTATCACTTTTATAGCAGGTGGATAACAAATATTATGGTTCACAGACCCGAAAAAAACGCCCACATTTCTAATAATATTAATCAGTGATTTATGTATGATACTTTTGAGAATTTTATTTTTATGTACTAATTTATAATTAAATAGTCTATATAAATAATTATATCACTACCTAGGTATAGTATTATCGGACAATTTTGTAAGTTTTCTTAAATAAATTAGCTCCATGTGCGTTTTTAAAGCTGTCAAATAGAAAGACAACGAGTTTGCTTTATGCCTGGTCTCTAACTCTACATGATTTTTCAGAAAATAATGTAGGACGTTATTATAAAAAGTGACATCGATTTTCTTGAGTTAACTGGTCAAGAATAAATTATTTTATATTCTAACCAATTTGACTGAAATTTAAGCTACTCTACTTAATATATTTTTAGTGAGGGATATTCAAAAGGTTTTGAAGTAGGTCCAATAATGTTCATACATTGAAACTAATAATGATGGTAAAAATACAATTATTATTTGACCATTCTTAAAATTTAATTTTTAATAATTTGAATAGATACCCATTTTGAAATAGGATCATTAAACCTGTTAATCTAATAATCATATAGTCTGTATAGAATAGGTACCTTATACCATAAAAGGTATTAGTACTACTTTAAACTTAAAACCCAAAACAATAAAGCTATATGAGGGTAGATCTATGCTCAAAATTCACTCTTATAAATATGCCGCTGAACGTGTGTATACTGCAAATTATTATACTGCTTTTCTTTTTTCATTTCAGAGCTGCTTGTTGGTGTGGCAATCAATATCCATCGGAAAAATTCAAAATAAGTGACGCCAAATGTAATGCTATCTGTTCGGGCGACTCGTCGAAAAATTGTGGCGGTCTGTGGAGATTGAGCGTCTATTCCACTGGAATCGTTGGTTAGAACATAATACTATTTTATATTAATTTATATACCTACATGATACTACTAGGTATTTTTATCCTTGGTACGCTCTGCATATACATAAATATTAAATACATTCAAGTGGTTATTATTTTTTATACTGCAACAGATTATCCACTCAGAAATTTTGTCGGATGTTACAATTTGGAAGGATTCGCTCGGTACGACAAGAAAATATATATTTTAAAGGAAACCATTGATTCGCACAGGTGTTTTTATATTTGTAACGAGAGAGGATATAAATATGCGTCAGTCAACGAGTACATACCAAATTTTTCATTTAATATCATAAACACCGTCATAGTATTTGACTATCTACAATACTTATAATATAACCGATATAGGGATCATTGCTAGTGCAGTGACGAAGTATCGGGTGCAGACGAACGGAAAAATCCAGAAGAGTGTATAAAATGTGCTGGGGACGAATCGGAATATTGCGGTGGTCCCGATCGTCTTAGTATCTATGAAAACGATTGGTTTGGTTTGTTAAATTTTTTTAATTACATATTCAATTTTATAGTTTGTTATTATTGATCCACGGCCGCATTTTGGGTTGATATGTTGCAGAGATTTTAAAATACTTGGTTTTGTAATGAGTGCAGCTTCTAATTTAAAATGTAAAATAAAACTATTAAATTATTATTGTGCACTGGCTTGTCCAATTCTCAAATATGGTTCTACTATTTGAAGTCTGCGATAGGTTTCTTGCAGCGCTTGCTGAGAGAGAAAGAGCCCAACGTATAGGTTTCTTCATTTCGCTGGTTTTTTATTAGGTTCCCCATGATTTTATCGTCTAGATATTTTACGTATATTTGGTCTTCGATTCGTTTATCTGTAGTCCGATGTCTTATTATTATTTATTAGTTCCTCTGTGTCATTTTTTACTTCTTGAATACCTGACCCTTGTGTACGGTTTACCTACGAAAGTATTCAGTATTATCTTTCATTATATTCCAAATTTAAACCTCCATACTTGTCCTGCGTCTTTTTAATCACCGTTTCTCAGGGTATACTATTAAAGAGCACTTCCTGGGCCCTGGCACATGAAAATTAATTTCATTAAGTAAACTCGGTGTATCAAATTTCTCTAATATTAGTTTATGAAAAAAATCCGGTATGAAACGTAATTGGTGATTGTATTTTGTTTGCATACATATAGGCATGGATACCGGAAATTTATCGAATACTCATTTTGGATGTTTTGAAAACTCTTGGATGTATCCAGTGATGGATGGATGGAATATATCATTTCCTAACGAATTGACCTCACAAAAGTGTGTTTCTAGTTGTTTCACCCGAGGGTTTCCATTCGTAGCTCTAGTGTCTTCGTGAGTCCTTCAAATTATCTTTATGGGGATTTTTTTTCAATAATAATTTTATTGTTATTATTATTATATAATATGTCATATTATACTCGTACCTATAGACTTTTCAAATTCGTCAACAATGTATATTATTATTTATTATTAATCATTAAAGTTAATTATAAACCTATACAGAAATAATTGTATTGAGGTAAATTTTGCGCAATAGTGATCTGTTAGTGCCTGGTTTGATAGTAAAAATAAAAAAATACCGAGCGGGTTGCCTCCCCAATATATATATTGATATATGAAAAATTATGATAATTATATAATCCTCAAAAAAGTACATAACATTATATACTCCTTCCTCCCATTTGAACTATACAAAAATGTACGGCCTACCCTTCCCTCATACGCGATCCCTGAGCACGCCTATGATCTGGCTATATTGTTCAAAAGAAATAGAATTTCCATAAGCCCATGACTGTAGCTAATAATAATATACAATGACGTACTATATAATATTAATAATATTTTTTTTTCGTACTGGTACCTACCTACTACCAAAATTATACTACTATACACTTGTCATGCACTCATACGTGATATGGTAATAATTATTCGATGTGACCCTCTACGTCTGCGATCAGGACGAAGTGTATGTGCAGTTTCGACAGCCCACCGATCGACGCCAAAGTCAAAGCCGGAGGACCGCATTGCAACGTCCCGTGTTCGGGTGGCACAGAAAGCGTGTGCGGCGATCGGAGCCACTACATCGTGTTCGCCACAGGTCTGAAAACGTCCAGGGTGGCCGGTGACCATTACCTGGGCTGTTACGAGGAGACGGATGTGTACAGCGCGTTCAAGAAAAACCAGTCCGTCGAATTCCCGTACGTCAACACACCGAGAATCTGCTCCAAGCACTGTGACAGAGCAGGCTACGAATATTTCCAACTATCCAACAGGGAATCGTGTTTTTGCGGAAACAACCATCCGGTGGACGACGGTGCTGTGCGGGTTGACGACAACAAGTGTTCCGCTCAGTGCTCGGGTGACGCGAACAAGTATTGCGGCGGAGTGTTTAAGATCGCGGCGTTCCGTATAGGTAAAGTTTTCATTATATAACTACAGAGATCACTGCATAACAAAAATATTTTACATCATAGCATCGTACTAGCTTCAGTTTGGACCGGTGGACTTGAATCGGTATTCTAATTCATTTCTGCCTTCCATCGATTCAAATATTGACATTTTTTTTTATATAAACACAAAAACTGAAGACAACTTCAACGAATGTTTAAATGCTGACGTAAATCCAATAATATTGAAATTAGAACTCGTATGTATACCCAGAATTAAGATATCAAATCATACAAGCAATCATTATAATTGTGATCATAACCCAGACAATGTAATGATAATATTATAATATTTATTTTTAAATAAATGTACCAATTTATTATTATTATTAAGTAAACGTCTGTAGGCTTAAGTAGGTATAGTACAAAATATAAAATCACAATAATAGAATAAACAACAAAATGATTTGAATGAATTGTGGTGGTAATACCCATACCTGCGAATAAATAAAGGGCAATAGGGAGATATATAAATCCTAACAAACTCCTCTTGGCACATCACTGAATTTATGAGTGACTCATAGGTAATGTTTTCGTCTATAAATTATTATTGTCAGACTGATTTTAAATTATTTCGGGAATGTTATAAAAATATATAATATTTTAAATAAATGTTTTAAATTTTAAATAGAATAATTCAATAATGTAATAGAAATATCACAGTAATTAAAAAAATAGTTTTATTATTAAGTGGATGCCACATATCTGCCTTTGTTTTCTTAAACAAACTTGTCTTACAAGTGCATGTAACATGTCCATTTATTTTCATCAGTCCATGTTTAGTTTCGTTAGTTTTAATATTAGATTGAACTGACTTGTTACTAAACTCAAACGTATTAACATTTTTTGCATTTTCTAGGAGTTGTTTTTATTTTGAAGTCATTGAGGCAGTTATGAGCTTTTTAATATTTAAAACTATGTTTACTCGTATGAATTATTAATATTTAATGATTTCTAACATTTAAATACGACGTATAAGATATAATTATTATAGTCATCACTCGGTGTACGACGTACGTCCGTGTACTCTGTGGAATTAGACTTAAACATCAGTATATGAATATATTTTTGTAAAAACTGGAGTATAAAAGTTATCAATTATCAACACTGATAACGATTAACAGGAATGGTTTTATTATTATTATTTATCAGTTCAATACAATTTGAAAAAATGTTGATTTAAACAAAAAGATTCAACTATAACTACCTATAATTAATTTAAAATTAACTGTTTTAATTATTTTATTGTATTTATACAGAGTATTAAAGCTATCAGTGTTAAATTAATAATGTTGTTTATTTATTATAGGAATGGTCGCTGACATAAAATATAGTTGTTCTACAGATTGCGAATGCTATTTTTTCCCGAAACACAATGAGTCCAAAATTGACTGTTCAAAAAGTAACCTAATTGACCCTTCGACAATTATTCCTGATTTAAAAACAACTTCGTCGTCAATTAATTTAATTTTGAAAGACAATTTGATCGAAATCTTACCTAATTTAACAAGTTTTCGTATCGCTTTATTGGATATCAGTAATAACAGTATAACGACATTGGATGCCAATCTTTTACCTACAAGTTTAAAAGTGAGGAAAATAGTAATAGTTTAGTATATACTGTATATTTATGACATTATGATTTACCCATAATATGGATATCACATTTCCATCGTCGGGGTCAACTTGTGTTCAGTTCCATCTTAGAAAAATATTAACCAACATAATATCAATGAGTATACAAATATACATAATTATCAGTTACTGAACATATCATTTTACATGGCTGTAATTGTCGAATCAGAATAAGATAAAATGTTCAATAAAAATTTGATTAAACTCATAAACTAGAGTCAGTATTGTTTGATAATGTGTACATATCTAAGTCTGCTATAGAAGCTATAATATTAGGTACACCAGCTACATTAACTTTTTTATTTCAATTATACTCGAATACTCTTACGATTTTGAATTACACATTATGACATAATATATACTATATTGAGTACTCGTAGTTCGTACGTACTATCATGTATTTAATGAATTTCTAATATAACATTCTTTCCGCAGGTTTTGTTTGCCGATAATAATAAGTTGACAACGCTGAACGGTAACGCATTGAGATTAATGCAAAATCTTGACGTCATAATGTTATCGAAAAACCCGTGGCTATGTGAATGCGATTTATTGAACACCCTACTGAAGTATAAATCAAAGGTCCGAGCTTATACTTATAATATATAGAGTCGCTGCATACTGCAGTGAGCAGATTATCGCGTTAATTATTCGAAGGGTTCGTTGATTTTGCAGATCGGAGATATGAAGAAAATCACTTGCACGTCTTCCACAGTTCCGGTTATCCTCATGAACGAATACGAACTTTGTAAAAAACGGAAAATCGATTATTTTTACCTCTTCATTGCCCTGGGTTTCGTTTCATTCGTTTGCCTGCTGTCCGTCTATTTTAACTTGCACAGGACTGTTTGGTTGTACATACGCAACATCCAGTGCGATTTCTGCGATCTGATGTCCATGCAACATACCAACAATGACGGCAAGGATTCCGAAGAAACTTTCATGCAACGGATCCAATACGACGAACTCGTGTTGGCCACTGACAACTGGAACCAGAACCGCGTGCTGGGCGAGGGCGGCTTCGGGGTGGTGTACAAAGGCAATTGGAGACACACGGACGTAGCGATCAAGAGACTGAAAGCCGAGGTCGGCGTGACCATACGATACGGGTCTCATGCCTTATGTGTTGATATCGAATCTTTTTTCACGTTTTAGGGAGTAGCCGAAAAAGTGGTAAACATGCACACTTTGGGTGACGGACTCTTGCAGAACCCGTCCAAAGAGATTATGTATCTAAACGCTGTTAAACACGATAACGTACTGTCGATGTACGGGTTTTGCTTCCATTCGACGGGATCTTGTTTGATATATCAGTTTATGGCCAATGGGTCCCTCGAAGATCGATTACAGTGCAAAGTATATACGATTTTATCTCTTTATATTTATTTTACACGTAGCCATATAATAGGTAAATAGGTAGATGATAGGTTCATATTAAGATAAGGATAATCAATCAACAACGAAATAATATTATAGTATTATACTATATTTTATATACGTTTCTATTGTTTACACTTCAGCAAATGGTAACTTACCAAATATCTACAGTATATAATATTTTTAATTTCACGAAAATCAATGAGGTTAAATCAATTACTGCAGGTACATTCTCCTGCTGCAGACTATCTATAAGTTATTATTTGCTATACGAGCGTCCATATTCCATAACACGATCTATGAGCCCAATGATGAATAATTATATATTTTCAAAAATTGTTTAGGATTCTAGGAATTTTTAAACGAAAATAGTCTACTTAGGCTTATATTTTGTCACGTATAGGATTATCCTATATACCTACCATCATATTTCTTTATACCTAGATCGCAATAATCAATTCATTTATTTTTTACACCACCTACCTCTATGCTTCGTTTTATACAGTCTGCTACGTGTTAAATATTTTATATAGGGCCACGGGTATATCAATCAATAGTATCATTTGAGAGTGGTTTACGCAAACTAGGATGAATTTCCAGAACAAATTTATGAAAAGATTGTTGTTCCTTATTCAATAATTGATAAATGATAAGTAATACAAAAATAATAAATACTACATTACGCGTTTGCATCTATCACTATCAGATATGGAAATTATCTTTAAAGAAAATGTAATATACATGTTTATTTTATAGATAGTGATATTATTATTATTCTTTTCTTACATCACCAAAATTATATAAAGCTCTGGTTGACGTTTTTTTTTAAGTTATTACTAGCTTTTATCGTGGGCTAGGCGTGGTGACTGAAAACATATTTTTCGTAATGAAAAGTGTGACCGTAAATCATAAGATCTTATTTTTTTCTTTTCAGTCGCCGCGCTTAAAAAGTGTAACTAAGATAATACGAAAATACAATATGATACATAACTAAAAAATTGCTATGCAATAGCTTTACCGCGGCAGTCCCCAAGTGCCTCAGACTTTTTATTGTTAAGTAAACCGTTAAAGAAAACCAGTTAATCATTCTAGCCCATTTTGTACTGCAGACAATTATTCCTAATGCTCGTAAGCTCGTAATGCTCTAATAGTCTAATGCAATAGTGTTTTTTATTAGAACCTTTGCAATTCAAATTCATCACATTAAACAATACTATTTTGAAATGCTGTCTATTTATACAAATCGCATATTATTATATAGAATGGAACAAATCCATTATCTTGGAAGACTCGCGGAAATATTGCAACAGGAATAGCAAGAGGTTTACAGTTTTTGCATAATGTTGAAACGCCTTTGATACATGGCGATATAAAAAGGTATATATTATAGGTGAACGCAATTCTATTGGGAGAACAGATTAACAAAACGCGTTCTGGTGTAGACAATTTCTACCTTCTGATTCAGGATAATACATACAATTTTATATTGGTTATTTTACTTTTTATCAATAAATTAATTTTGTTATTGAAACTTTATAAGCTGGTACAACTAACTGTATGCCCTAGTTAGTACAATTTTTACTATGTTATCAAATACTTCAATACTAATAGCAAAACTTATGAGTAATGTTGGGAAAATGCATACAGTCTGATAATAGTATTCTGAATCCACATAGGGGGTAATCATAGACTTTATACTATAGGTACTAGACAAGCAATGATAGTGTATTGGAAAGCGTAACAATATAGAGGGCGATTTTTGACTACTCGATTACTTGTACGCACGGTGGTGCGGGCTAGCAGAGTAAGGCGTACAGACATTTAAATTATTGTATTTTTTTGTAAAGACAGTCAACATCACTGAGAGACTTTGTTACGCAGCCCGCATGCTGTTGTTATACACAGTTCTTGTTTAGTAGTTTATTATAAACTTAGGTCCATGGCCCATGGGGGTATAACTGCCTAACCATAAGATCTAAGATCAGTACGACATTGCTATCAGTGTTAATCTGTCTTTCCAATTGACATTGTATATGAATCACACACCTATTTGTATAACATATACATTTATTGATATCCATCTTTTTAGTGCCAATATACTTTTGGATTCTAACCTTGAGCCCAGAATAGGAGATTTCGGGCTCGCTCGAACCGGACCGCTGCAGGAACAAACTGACAAAAGCGTTGGATTTGATGTCAGCCACGTGTGTGGTACAAAGCCTTATTTACCTGAAGATTTTTATAGGAACAAAAAACTATCGACTAAGGTGGACACTTACAGTTTCGGCGTGGTATGCCCAACATTCTACGTTTTTGTTACACTTGAATGATTTTATATAATAATATTCATTATCGATGATTCGGGATCGAATTAATGTATTTTATTTATTTTTGTTATATACTTATGTATAAGACTATCACTATTTAAAAATATATTAATGTATTTGAAAGTGTTATTTTTACACAATTTTAAGTTGTCAACATTTTTTAATAACAAACATTTTTAATTTCTCCTTTCAAAGCATAATATTGTTTGGACGACTTCGATACTTGAAAATTGAATTTTAGTCTAGTAGTTTATAAGCTATAACTAATAAGTATTCAAAGTTTTTATGAGCGGAGTGGAGTGGTACCCTGCAGCTTTGTTGGTTAGGTTGCGCTTGGGGGACTGCCGCGGTGGACGGCTAGAAGGACAGCTTTCTTTTTGAATGTTCCTTTTAAAGTTATAAGTTATAAGTGTTATAGCTTACAAACTATTTGTCTGCAATTTGACTTTTACTGTTTTACAAATAAAAAAAAACTAAATATTATTCTGCTTAGAAGTATGAAATTAAAAATGCATTTTGTAATAGAAAAAAGTAAAAAATGGATAACAATGAAAAATGGAAAAAAAATTACCTTACATTAAATGAATCAGCTTTTTAAATTTCTCAAAAGCATATAATATTAAATAATATGTGCAATCAACACAAAACGGGAATAATATAAAAATATCATGCACCAACATTATCTTCCAACGTTCCAAATGTCTGTAAAATACTGCTGTATGTTTTGGTTCACAGGTGATGTTCGAAATCGCGACTGGTCTAAGAGCGTTCAACAGATACAAAAATTATAAATACTTGGTGAGTGTAATAAAATGTCTTGATGAAAAATTAAACATCTTAGTTATTTCATAACCATAATATGCAGTAATGCAGTGTTGATTTATTCCAAATGTTTTATTCAGAAAGAATTGGTGAATAAGCATGACAAACGTTCAATTGTGAATATCGCTGACAAAATGGCAGGACATGATTCATTTCATGTCTTCGAAATACTTATAACTTTGGGAAAGGCATGCGTGGAAGACATAGCTGAAAAACGTCCAGAAATGGTCGTTGTTTACATGAATCTACAAAACGTTTTGTCATCGAAAACCAACGTAAATAATGGTATGTGTATGGAACATAATATATTAACGTATTTTAGATCAGATATTCTACACAAGTATACAATTCATTAAAAGGGCTTAAATGATTTTTACAATTTTAATTGTTTTAAATGTAATACAAGTTCATCATATTTAAGTTTAAGTAAAATATGAGTTGTTAAGTTTTTTAATAACTAAAATAGCTTTTAAACGATGAATAAATATATTCTTCATATTTAAAAACAACACGTTCAAGCTGAATAGAAAGAATACAAAAGCACTCCTAAACGGCAGGATGTGTACATATTATACTTACTGTCCTCCGTAAGCTATGTAGATTGTAGGAACTATAAAAATAAATATTATGATCGCATAGGAGTTGAGCCCCGAGATAATAATATTGCGAAAAATATTAATTGATCTGGTGATTATTAATGAATCGTTAAATTTGAGAGAGCAGCGTTCGTTATCGGTTTACGACAGATAGCTGTGGAGTTTACGTTGAGAATGCCCACAAAATTTGACTGATTGTATATTAATGAGTAATGACACTACTGAAATAAACATACCTATACATTTAGACATTTAGTGAGTGTTTGATGTAAAAAGAAGTATAATCAACAAAACAGAAAAAATTAAAGAAAACATATCGTAGGTAGCCTATCGGATGCGGTGCCTATAATTTTTGTATTTTTTTTGTTGGTGGAGTCATTTCCATAATTTAAGACCAATTATAAAATCTATTATTCACATTTTCCTCACCAGTTTTAGCATTGTATTAAAATGACTGTTCTATAAGGGAAATAAATATTTATTATTTACTTAGCCCAAATATATCGGGTACTCTGATACAATTTTTCCACTTGAGCCATAACGCATAATCTTATTGACTGTTTTTACAATTTTCAGTTGAAGCAAGCGGAGAGAATTATAATATGACAAAAGTGCACTTGAAGGTACCAACATTCTACGATTATTAATTAATAATATTTTTTATTTTTTACCAAATTTATTATATATAAGTCCGTCTAGCAGCGGTGTGGGGCGCATCCCAGAATGCTTATTGCTGTGAAAATAATTATGTTTTTTTTTGCATAATAAACGATAGGGACCGGGGGCGAAGCAATGCAAACACTAGTTCCTTCCCCGGTTTTCGATAACACGATAAAAAAAGAAAAAGAATAAAAAGTATACATATTATTATTAAATGCAATAGTTTATATACATATTATACATATAATTAAAACTCGTGTTCAACAAAAGTTGCAGAAGTAATTTTCTGTTATTTGGAAATTTGATTTAATATAATATTTATTTATTATTATTTGTTCCACGGCGTAACGTACACGCAATTTAATACCTGTATTATTTCTTACAGAACATATTTATAAGTAAATGTATAAACTCGAAAGGTTTAATTTAAATACGCTTCAAGTCATGGTTTTGATAGTCGATAAAATATTATCAAATTATCATGACCAATAATTGTTGAGAGACTTACTAATCTAACCTATGAGAAACTTCTAACCGCAAATTTTTATGAGTGGTAATTTTTTATTTTATATAAAATATACCGATACCTGCCGATTATACATGGTAAATTTCAATCATATAATATAGGTAATACTTCAATGTTATGCACTTATGCTTACCTCATTGACTATACAATTACCTATATGAGTATAAAACACTATTAAAATTTATAAGATTTATAAGCCTGTCGCGTTTAGCTGTATAACTGTATAAGCTATAAATTATTCCTAATACTTATACTTCAGAATACTTCCTACTAATTAATAGTTATTCTTGATTTTAACTTTTAAGGAAACCAAAAATCCAGATATCATAAAATTAGACGGAATAAAAGCAGCTCTATTAGCACCGCTCCACGAGATTCCGTCAATATCGAAATTGTATTCTAGTCCTGTGCACGAAGCCGATCCTCGGAAAATTATTACCACCGAAGTAAAATCTGTCAGCAATGAGATTTCGGTATGCCTCAACGGGTTTAAGTACCGCAAAATATGATAACTATAGTCTTATGAATGTATGTTTTTGATAGGATGAAGGGTTTTTTACGACAGACTTTTAAGTGATCGAGCCAAGTAACAATACATGTGACATTATGAAAATAATTAGTTACAGCTAACCTGCATGTTTACCAATTTTGTAATACCTTATCATTTTATTACTTCTTGAAAACTATTTTAAGTTCGCTATTAACTTATTTATACTTGAACATATTATGTAATGCACCATCTATAAGTACAAATATTGGAATGTGTTTAGCACTTTATATCTTGAATTTTGTTTTTTACTTAAGCACAATATTATAAAAATTATCATGATTAATAAATAGTTCTTTTCATCATTATTTTCAGAGAAGTTGCTTTTCAATAAGTATTGCAGGTTCAATATCATGTGTTTTTTATTTAAGAAATTTACTGATAATAATATAAAAATATTATATTTAATTAGCATGATAATATATTTTTATACACTGTAAATGAAAAAAGTGTATTAAATGTGTATCATTAAAAACTATATCCATTAGAGAATAGAGGTATTCAAAGTTTTTTCATTGCGAGGCTCCATTATCTTTTTGTAACATTTTGGTGGTTCTCAAATAAGTAAAGACAAAGAAAAAAAATATTTAGGCGCATGGAAAACTAAAATTAAACATTTTATGTTAAGAATAAAATAATATATTTATTTTATAGTACCCCCCTTGGAGCCACAACACAGTTTGAGTAACTCTGATATACATAAATAATAAATCATACATACTATTTAATTTATAGTCTTGTCAAAGTCATTTTTTATAAAATATGAATGTTAGACCTAATATGAACACAATATTCACTATTTATTTTTTGTGGTTTTTATAGAAATTTATAATAAAATAGTTTTTCTTCATAGAAGAATATCAGAAAATAGTTTTTGTTCATCACATTACATTATGAATGTAACTACTAACTATCCAGGAATAGAATAGATAGGAAAACGCATGCTTTACAATTTTAGGGTAAAACTACTTTTTTAATTTAAATACTAAATTATAGTGAGAAACTGGAATTACCTAACCCATTAGCAAGTATTTTTTTTAATTAATTGTTATAACTTATATTGGCATTATTATGTCGTACAATTTAGGGTGTAGGACATACCATTTCAAAGAAAAAAAAATTATAAAGTTAGTTTCAACAATTTCCAAAAATACTATATAATATATTATTTTGTATTTAAAAAAAAAAACTTTACAATACATACATAAAAAATATCAACCAAATACAAAGTAGTCATCTTTTTTGTAACCTTGCTGGATAACTAACCTATTGAGAAAAAAAATTTATATTAATTATTTAAAATGTGTGATTTATTCTTACTTTTCACATAGTTTATTGAATCCTGGTGGGCCACAAATGCACACCGCATATTCATTCTTCAAATCTTTATTTAACGATGGAAAATATTTAATGATTACATTTTCATCAATATGTCCTTTTGTGTCACCCATGGAGTTTTCCTCTTCTGACAAAATGTAATGAACAGTCAGTCTGTACAAATATTAACAACTTAATAATGGCTATCAAATCATACAGTGCATATAACAATCTAACCTTGATAAGTAAGCAGCACTTTTTTGATCTAAATACTTTTTCCAAATTATACATGTTTCTTTTTTGTTGAAAAACAATAATTTGATATTATAACTATTGGGGTAAAAATAAAACAATATAAAACTCATTTTTTGATAACCATTAGTAAGTTATTAAATTACTTTTTAATGGAAGAATGTAAAGCATTCCATATGATTGGTAACATTGGTGTAATTCCAGTACCAGCTGCCAATAAAATAAGGTTTGTTTTTGAAGTCCAACACTCAAAACTACCTTGTGGACGGCTGACTTCGATTGAATCTCCTTGGCTTAAAGAACACAAATGTCTACTTAATTTTCCATTTGGATAACATTTAACCAGTAAACATAAAGTGTCTTCAGAGATTTTCCCATACTCCTTTGTCTCAACTAAAGGACACACTGGAGTATATGGTCGTGACACAACATGCCCTAGAACAACAATTTTTAATAGTTAGAAAATATGTTTCAATATATTTTCTTAGAGAATAATTTTTAGATTTATACCATTGACGTTAGCTTTAATATAAATATGTCGACCAGGATAGACATGATTGTACAAGTTCTGTTCATACTTAAATAATAAAAATTTGGCATTATGAGTAACATCGAACGAATCAAGTAGCTCGCATTTCCAATAATCAATTTGAATAGTTTTAGTTGTTGATATGGTTCCAAATGTCGGCCAAAGTCCAAGTGATTTTTTTATCAGTTTAACTTGAACTTTTCCAATGTCTGCTACTATTTTCACAATGCAAGGCCAATTGACATTTTTATGCAAAGTGATACATCTTGTTTTTCCGTTCAATACAAAACGAAATTCATTGGGTTGTCTTAAAGTAATAGACACCTGAAATCAGAAAAATATTGAAGTCTATTAAAATTAACTATAACCAAATATTAGAAGTCTTGATAAATCAAATACTATATAAACTAAGTTTTAAGTTAATAAAAATTATCAAAAATAGATATAGAGAAATAAAAATGAAACTTTTATAAAATTAAGAAAAAAAATCAAAACATTTTTAACTTGAAAGTCACTATGGTTGGATATCATAGCTTTTAAATAAAAATACGTCCAACTGTGTATGAACAATTTAAATACCTCAGGATATGGTGTTTTAGTATAAAATACAAAACATAAGAAGCCAAGTTGTTGAAACCAGTCCATGTTTAAATCATTTTCAGAGACATCTGTAGCAGCTTTCAAAATATCAGGCAATTTAAACAACTCCTCATTTACTAATCGGCCAACCACACACTTCTGAAGTATTGATTCATAATTCACCCAAGCATGTATCTGTTGTTCACAATCTTTCGTAAACAATTTGTTAACAGTTAACAACAATTACATTGTTTGTTAGTATTGGTTTTTAGTTACCTCTGAAAATAATTTGGTAGCGTCTGTGCCGATTCCCCTAACTAATTCATCAACGCCACCAGGATGGAAGTCCATGTACTGTGTAACATTGTAAACGGTTCCGCGGATAGCCAACCAAGCATCGGTTCGTTTATTGTGTTTTGCTAATTCTGATTTAGAAATAGATAACATTTTTCCACCAACTCCAGTTAAGTCACTTCCAGAGTTCCCTAAACGAATCCAATCCATCAGAGAATGACCAGGTGCGAGTGCCACCTTATTTCTAGTTGTTCCTAGTATTTCAACAAAAAACAATGATTTTAAATTAATATAACACATCTTCATAGACATATCTGTGTTTAGAACCTGCTACATGTTTTAAGGGATTATAGCACTGATCAAAAACAATCAGTCACACACACACACACACACACACAAAGACAATGATAAGTAATGTCTGATATAAATTAAATAATAACACAAATTTGGCAAAATTTCCCAGGGAATGTCAACAGTCCAGGGACCTTTTGGAGGATTCACCTGTACATAAGTAAACAATCTAAATGAAATTAAAAAAATTAATAAAAAATTCTTAAATTTTAAATGTTAACACTGACAAAGAAAATAGCAATTATCGATATTCAGAATCATTTACATTTGTCACTAAAATTAATATTTTACTGACCGGTAGCCATGATTGAATCCTGTGTCCTGTGAGGCTGTGACCGTCAACACTAAACTATTGATACGAATTTATATGCACTCATAGTTTTAATTGAAAAACAGACGTTCAAACAAATATACTGGTGAAATTAACGATCTGTCAAAAATCACAGTAATACTCAGTCCCTAGTGTGAACTACTGTGAACTGTGAAGGCAATGAAGGCATAATTAATTAGATAATGGCAAAAGCGAAAAATTTCAGTCGATAATATTATCACGTCTGGGATTTCGTTATCAGTTCACACGAACATGTTATCATTTTGTTGGACAAAACCATGAATACAGCAGCTGCAGGTTGAAGTTAGATCTACAGTAACAGGTTAGGGAAACGACAAAAATAAAATTGTATAGTTGAAAAAAATTATTAAAATACAGCGAATATTGAAATCATTAACTACAGGCGCGTCCCCAAGGGGGGGGGGGCGAAGGGGCGTTCGCCCCTGCCATAAAAATTTTTAATATATATAATTACTATTATGTCCACAAAATTAAAATGATCAAAATTATAATACGTATAATATATAGATTTTAAAAATAGGTTCACCCCCCTTGAAAACTGTCTAGCCGTCTAGGGACGCCCCTGATTAACTACACACACACGATGTGTATTATGCATGATTATTTTATTTGCATAGACGTAGATTAAAGGTAGGAACTAGGAACTAACTTAAAAATATGTAATGACACTTCGTAATTACTGGTATTAACATATTTCATATTAATTTTGAAATATAAATTCATAGAGCGCGCTAGATATCATAGTGCGAAACGGCAGTACTATACATAGTATACATCATTATTCATTATCGCTTCATAGTTCATAGTTGAACAGATCGTTCTGCATCTCTGTACTTCTGCGTTCTTCAGACGCGCCGGACAGTGACTCAGTGTGGAATTGCAGAGCGTATGCCTATTGCCTGTTTTCCAGTCTTCCAGACCTGTTTGCGTGACCATGGCTTCGAGCATCATATAGACATATAAAAGTATATAAATATATTGTACCATATATTTTAGTATTTAATATGTCTATGGCGAGCATGAACGATGGTCGAACCTGAAGTATAAATCTTAAGTTGAGGCTGAAGTTGCGACTACTGCTCTTACAGAATACAGATTCCGACATTATAACTTAGTAACTAGGTATGTAACTCATTGGAAAATATTACACTAATAAAATAAAATCGTACCTATATATATATTTAATATTTATTATCGCACCTCGTGGTAACCGTTATGATTTATTTGAAAAGCGTGCCAATTTTACACCGTTCGCGGGCTATTTAAAAAATATTCACATTTCATGTCACCCATACTTATGTCAGGCAGGCATTTTGTTTCGGAAAACGGAAATTGAGTATAAAGTAAGGCGTGAGTCCTTAGGCCGGGGAGAAATTGGAAAAAATTGGAGTTACACCCCCTGGACTTCCGCCTTATTGTATTTGATTTATATACTGTTCAAAAATAAGAAACAAAATTAAATATATTAGAAACGTTTCAATTTTTCAAACTTATTATACTAACTAAAAAAATGTTTAACACTAAATAAGGGGACACTGTCTTTTTTCATGTGATTAATTTACAATTTCTTAGTACAAAATCTCGTTCATCAATTCGTAAGGTATAACGAAAAATTACAATTTTGATAAATGATAATATTTAGATAATATTACGCCATAAATAATTAATCGTAAAATAAAAACCAACCGGTAGTCAATATAACAAATTTGCTGCGGACTATGACACGACGGCTGCTATTGTTTGAAAAATAACATATAACAAAAATGATAAATATGAACCGTGAGACGTGCCTCGTAGCGAAACATTAATACCCAGAAATTCTGGGCCAAAATAGCACTCAATAATTTTGCAATTCCCCAGCACACAGTGCTCAGAAAAACGAGACGTCGCTAGTCTCATGTCTCGACGCGTCGTCTACTTGTCTCATATTTATTTTTATACCGTATGGACGGTTATTGGAATGGCCCACCACGCCGGGCACCGCCAATTCACGTGCGCTCCCCGCAATTAGTCTATTCTAAGATATTAGTAAGAACAGTGAAAGCGAATACTATTAAAATGGTATGGTAGGACGAAAATAAAATATTTTGACGATTGATATTGAAATATGTATGATTTAATATATTAAGAGTTGACATTCAAATTCGTAAAATAAATATTTTATTGAATGTATTATTTAAATTACTTGTCCCTATTCTAAGCGGGTGAACATTGCCTCATTATATCCTTATTATGACGCTTTACCACTTTCACTTATTTCTTATGAATTATTTTTGATCGTTTTATTCGAAAATCAATAAAAATTAAAGATTACTTCTTCATTTAAAAAGTTGGCCGTTATAGATAACGATATTGTATTTAAAAATGAATTATATAATCAATTCCACGACTTATAACTAGTAATAAGTAATTAATAAGTGATTGTTATACGTTATTCCTATAAATATATATAAATAAATTGTATAGGTCTAATATTTATGTACATTGTTGTTTGTTAAGACTTTAAGAAGACGTCGTACCCTCATGTTTTGTTTCCGTCTTACACACATATGTATAACAAATTTTCGTTCATCTGTTTCATTAGTGTGCTGTTAGTTTTGATATTAGAGTGAATACAATTTAAAGGAATATTGTTTTGTTTAAGGTTTATTGTTACAAAATATTATAGGTAGGTGATTCGAACGAAAAATCTACTTTGGTCAAAATTACGTCATAACTATGGAGGTACACGATTTATACTTAGAAACTCCTATATTTATAATTATTCAAAACATAATTAATATTCAACATACTGTTACAAAAGAGTATAAAATTGAAATACAAGTTATTTTAAAAAACATCTAGTAAGTAACATTGATAAGTTTAAATAGCGGCGTTTTGTATGTAACTCCAGACACCATTGATTTGTTGCGTAATAATAGATACAAATTTTGTTCAGTTATTTTGTAATATAATATTCATTAGTATCTTTTTAATTTTTTAATTCTTAATTTTTTTTTTAAATATTGTTATCAATAAACCTATTTTTATTTGATTATTATTTAATAGTAATTAAAATGTGTTAATTTATCTTACAAAAAATGTATTAAAACAATTTAAGAAAAAATACTATTGTTTAACATCAATCAAAATAACTTTTCAAAACATGAATTGCATTACACAATGAGAAGTCAACCCCTAAAATGATAACGTCGTTTATCTATGAATTAATATGTCTGTCCGGCGTTACTCCATTTAATAGAAATTAATTTTTCTTAATTTTGAAGAGCTTATCACTATCTTTTTGCATATAACTATTGGCTGTATTTAAGAATAAAAATAAAAATTTAGATTTATTATTCTCAGAATTATTTGAAATAAAAATAGTAAATTCTGTCTGTGTTACGCCATTTTACGATACCTATTATACGCTATATAGTATATATGGTCCTGGTGATAGGTAACCGTATAACATTGAGCTAAGTATATCAGTTATAAAATAAATAACAAAATAGATATAAGGACTCAGGTTGACTCATATTATGTCATAAATCATAATTAATTTTAATTAATATTTATTTTTGAATCCGAATTTTCTGCTTTTATAACATTAATTCTTGGGATCTTCAATAATTTTGTTGATATTACTTCAGAATGTAAAATTAATATAATTTATTTTTAACTGTTCTCGAATATCATATCTCCTATATTAATATAGGTTTTGTCATACATTCTCTACATACTTATATTTATAGCGTGTTACTCCATAGAAATTATAATAATAATTATACTTTTAAAAATAATTTGGTTACAGTAATTTGTGTTGTGTTACTACCCAACACTATAAACAAATATTACAAGACACAAAACGCACATGGTGTATTGGTGTCTAAGATCAGTCAGACACAGTCACAGTTAAAGTCACACTATCACAGTACACCGATGAGTGACGAATAATTGACCAGTGACCGCTGACGGACGTGAACCGTTTTTCGGAAACACATTGGCCATTGAGACATGCAGGTTATGATACCGTTGGTTTGCTAGGCATTTAAATAAAAAAATATATTAATCTTATGTTGTATCCATCACATGCTGATTAGGTGTACTACTTTTACTGGTCAGATTTAGTATTTCAATAAATTCTCCGTAATGCCCTTTCCGAACAATGTGGTCTTTTTTGCAAAAAACTGCGTAATCGGTCGAGTCTGTATCATCACTAGTGGAATAAGTCCATATAGCGGAGAGCTGACACAGAAAGAAACATTTATTTTTAGTTTACATTTTGTTTTCATTCGACGCCATGAAATCGGGTTGTTGGAAAGACACCCTCAGTAGCATTATACTGGGGATTGACGGGCACGTTGAATTTAATTAAATTTAAATAATTTATTAAATATATATTTTTTTGAAATACAGTAAATATATTTTTTATAATGTTAAAATTGACTTATATCCTAAAAATATAATATTACTTTTATGCTATACCTATATTGGCTATATTCTACTTATACGTATAAAAAAAATGGTCGCAATATCGAGTTATAATAATAATATTAATTGTGTAATATAAATTGAAATAAAATGTGAATATTATAAGACCTTTAGTAATTACAGCGATTTCTTATGGTTTGAGCAAATGCTATTAGGAAGTCTCAACATTTACATTTATTTCATTATTTTGGATTCCCGAAGATAGTTTATTATTCGAGTATACTGTTGAAAATGACGAAAGTTTAATCATCAGTGATTTTTTCCCTCAATTTATGAAATTTTTCAAATATTCTTACTATCCTTTTTTTTTTTATAGATGGCTTATTTCAGTATATACATCTAAAAAAAACAGTATGTTATATTATGTTAAGGTATAATAAATTAATAAATAAATATTATCCCATTTAATGTAACAAATCACAATAGAAGTTCAAGAACATATTATTTGCAATGTGTAAATACGGGGTTTTTTCGTTTCTCAAATGCCCAATAAATTATTCATTTCCTCGTAAATAAAATAATACTAAAATAGCCGTCATCCGTCAAAGCCAGGTATTGTGCGGAATGCCGGAGTTATCGTCTCTTGTTGATCGTCGGCCGCCTCCGTTAGGACACGGGACACTATAATAGAAGTTGATAATGACTTACCTCCGTACATGTCGTTATTGTACAAATTGTAGAAATAAGGGGGAGGGTAGTTGATAACAACGGTCAATAACAACAATAAAAATAACAACAACCATAGTTATAGATTATTTATTATCTATACTCTGACAACAACTTATAATGATGTTTTAGTTGCAGATCGACGGCACGACCGCGACAATTAATCTAAACGATCTAATATTTTACGCGGGAACGGCAGATTGCGATGTTATCACGCGTTACAACAAAGAACTCGATAAACTGTCATTTGTTCCGCGTAGCTCGTCAAATAATTGCGACATCTCACTTACTAAATAATAATACGTTTGATGGTTTGAAAATATTTACACGATTTATTTTGAATGTAAGTTGCTTGTCTATTACTACCGCACCGGGGCCGGCCGGTCGGTCGCGATAACGTTGGTCAACCTGACGCGGTCGGCGAGTAACCACTATAACCGGGTCCGGAATCGTCGACGACCACAACGGCCATCTTCGGGGAAACGCAGCTGCGCGCCACCAGCGTCATACACTACATTCGTACCCACTACCCGGCACCCACCGCCGCCGTAGCGTACAAACGGAAACGGCGAAAAACCCCGTACGGTCGCACTGCGCGTACCCCGTTGAGCAGCCGCGTCAGTAACAGCGAACGAGCGTGCGCATATCCTCTCGCGCGTGTCCAGGTGTCCTACAAACATCTAACGAGTGTTTGCACTCCATACGATTAAATATTATTATAATTTTATTTTTCAAACTACGACGTGCGGTAAACACGGAAACGCCGCTAAACCAACGATAGGATTTCGTTTCGGTACACCGTTGTCGTCCCGTCCTACGCCGATCGCGCGCGAAAAATCGTCGAGGCTGCATCGCGTAACGGTTTTTGGGCGCTCGCTTGGTGAAGCATACCTTTGGGTCAACCTTTGCGTCTTTCCCGTCGGCTGATAGTGCGTCGGACGCCGCCGCCGTCGCCGTTTGTCCGCGGCGGACGCCGACGACGACGACGAAGGAGACTGCGACGACTGTGAACGGACCTTCCGGTTCGTCGCCGCCGCCGCCGCCGCCGAGCGTGTGTGTTAAAGTGTTTCGAACGTTCAACGAGTGCCGGCGCGTGCGTGCGTGCGTGCTACCGAGCGACAATAATAATAATAATAGTAATATCATTTAATATTATGTGCAATAAAGCCGCTGCAACTACAACTACGCGGACGGTCGGCGGTATTTTTGCGGACCAGACCGATTATCGTTATTGCGCAGTTGTCGGATTATAAAGAGGTGAGTGGTTGTGCTGTTGTCGTCGTTCGTATTTAATTTTTCGTCATCGTCGGTGTTTTTTCCACGAAACACCGTTCCCCCGCCGTGTAACGTCGTACACAGTAGCTTACCTTCGTACATCCATAATGACCATTGACCGTGCGGGCGCGTATTCGCATATTTGTTAATAACAAATATTAATACTCATGTACAGTGTGAACTATGTGGGTCAAATATTTGGAGGGAGCGGTCCTCGTCTGTTTCGTGGCGGCGGGGGGAAAGGGTGTTTTGTTTTGTTCCCTCCCGCCCCCTCCACACCCGTGATAGTCGCCAAAATGGCCGCAGCCTTATCCCCCCGACTTGACGGACTGCCACCTCGCTTCACTCGGCCGTCATTGTCGTCATTCGTCGCGTTGGTTTTGCGATTCCGTTTCGGTCTGTACGGCGATAAATAGAACATAATCGTTATCTTGGTTTTTAAATTATCTTAGTGCGATCGACGACTGAAAATATATATTATGATTTATGATATTATAAGATTCTCCCGCGTCTATATCCCCCGGTTTTCCACCACCCATGCCATCAAAACAAATGCGATTATCATTTCACGACTGTGATAGCAGAGTACGATTGTACGTTCAGTAATAATAATAATAATACGATTTCTTTGTGATACGCCGTCGTGGTGTCGATCTCTCTCTCTGCATCTCTCTCTTTCTGTCTGTCTCATACCACTGTACACACGACAATACACGATATTATATAAAAATATACCTCTACTCGGTCTTATTGTACGCAACTTTTCCGATTAATTTTAGATCATTTCGACGGACGCTTTCGTAATGGACATTTGCTCGTCGTCGAAACGTTTTGCTTGTGAGTTGTATTTTTTATTTTCTACGTTATCCTCGCGCTAAAATCGTAACCGTCGTTTAAGTTAACAGTTATAGGTAGGTATTATAGAGGGTAACACCACAGAAAATGACAATTTACATAGGTTTTCGGTTATTGCCTTATACATAAGTACCTACCTGTGGTTGTTACTAGGCGACGATAAAGTTTTTTACCTACCATCCCACAATAAGCTGTGGTGGTCAAAGATAACGATAGATGGTAATTTTATTTCATTCCATTTTCAATTGTTATTAATTTGTTTGACGTGATATTATTATGTTCATTATTATCTTTAGGTATTCCAACCATTCTACTGTTGTCTTAAACAAGTCTTTTTCAACTGTTACTTAATTGTTACCTAATGACTCAATTTATTAAATGATTACATAAAGCTCTTGTCACATACTATATTATTGCCTGGCTATGTTTCCTTTTGTTTGCGGATTGGGTATAATAGTAATTTATAAGTACCCATCAACATTCTTAATATTTGTTGTACATTTCTAATAATTGTAATTTTTACCTATTTCAATTTAATTTTAAATGAAGCCTAGAATCTGACACTTATTAACCTCAAAGGTTATACTTATACATAACCTCAAAAGATAAAAGAAACAAAATCCAAATGAAAATTTAAAAAAGTCCCTTGCAAAAAATTAGATTAATCAATTAGCTTAGGAATAAATTGCATATTTTTTTTGTTATTGCTAACTAAGTATTTCATTTTTTATTTAGGTATTAATCGCTTCAAGTAATTTTTACTAATATTATTATATAATAGTTAATTCAATTTGATGTTATATAAGAATTTTATTTTATTTGTTAACCTGATATTCATATTAAATCTTGATAATGTTTTAATAGCCAATATTTATGTACCATTAGTAATCTAGTAATAAATTGTTGTTTATTTATTTGCTTTTAAAGTATCTTGTTTTCAGTATAATAATTATCTATTTCTTCCATTTTTTAGGAAAAATGAAGGAAAAGGAGAATGCCAGTGTAAGTTTCTCCCAATGGCAGACATGGGTCTTGGACGCAGTAAATAAAATTCGTGGCCAAAAGCAGCGGCCATCCTTGGAACGTATTGTGAATGCAATTCGCCAGCATCATCGTTACCCTGTAGGGGATATTGAAACACAAGTTGAACGATGTGTAGAAAGTGGAGCTGTGTTGAAAGTCTTCAACAAAGGCCAAAATACTTATATGAACCCTTGTGGCACTGCAAATCGTAAACTGGTTATTAATGCAGATACTGATTTAACAAAAATTTTGGTGAAAGTAGTTAGCCAATTAGATGAAGAGGGCTCATCGTATAAGAACATTGATCGGTACATTCAGCATGCTTATTCTATAGAACTAAAAAATGAAGGATGTGACTTGACTTCATTACTCAAGTCAACATTGACCAAGGCAGTTGATAAAGGTTTATTGGTGTTGGATGGAAAATTATATAGGTTACCTGTCAGTCCAGATTCCACTACATCATTGATTGGAACACCAGTCTTAAAATATAGTTCTGGAAGAAAAGCACGGTTGCTTAAAGTTGATTCAAATGAAATTGAAACAACCCCCCTTTCACTCCGTAGAGCTGGAAGAAAACGGAAAAAGGTATCTGTTTGTGATACTAGTTCACTGACAGATCATGAAGCCAGTGACAAAGAATTAAATAAAGTAACTAAGGTCAAATATTATTTCTTTCAGTATTTATTAATATATTGAAATTTTAACAGGCTTCCAGGAATATCTGTGCAGATTGTTTAGGTACATCGGCAAGAAACCAATGTGGTGAAGCGGAATCATTAAAACAATGTAGAGGTGGTTGTGGTGTTTCATTGCATCCTTCTTGTTTAGCTAATAAATGTAGTGGCCCTTTGACTACTTTATTAGCTCGTGGTTCTCGATGGTTTTGTCAGGACTGTAGAACGTGTTCGGCAATACCATCATGTTCGGTGACTGAGCATGTAAGTACAATTAAAATAAAAATAAAAATCATAGATATTAACTTTGTTTTATACTTAGATGTTTTTGTTAAACTGTGATACATGCGATCGAGGTTATCATATGCAATGTCTACAACCTCCGGTTGTAGATAAACCAAAATTGGCATGGAGATGTTCATTTTGCTTAGATCACCACGACACCACCATTTCTATGGAGGTAGAACCATTTGAAGAGCGAAGGGGTAGGAAAAAGTCAAGTCTTAAAAACCAAAGGTATGTTGATAAATTAAATATTAATTTTGATGGTGTCCCTGTTAGTTATTTCAGATTTGATAGTTTTTGAGACTAACATGGTTTTAATTTTTGTGCTGCTTTTTCTCAAATTGATTACACCTCATATTATACTTACTGTATTATTGTTTTGTATTTTACTTATTGTATTATTCTCTACACTCTTAAAATTAAGTCATTTTATTTAAAAATGAGATGACTTGCATCTATTATATAAAAAAAAATTTGTTTATTGTACTTGTATGAGAATCATTCTAATTTTCACTTAAACCCCAAGTTATTTTTATCAATTTTTCAATTAAAAAAAAAAGTTATTCTGCTGTATTGTATGCTGATTGTATATAATGAAAAACAATTTTGATCTTTCATTCACAACTTTGTTGAATTTTTACAACATTTTAAAATTAAAAGATTATAAAAAATAAAGAGTGACTACATTTTTAATGTTTTCTAATTGCTCCAAGAAAAAATGTTGAGGAACCGTGTATTAAATTGTCTCTTAATTTTCTACTTAAAAATACAATTTGTATCATATTCATAAATAATTTTAATCAAAACTAAAAGTGATGACAATTTCATATTTCTGTAAATATCTGAAAAAAGCTAAATAGATCATGTTTAGAAAATGCCAACATAAATATTTGAAAAAATGTCAATACAGATTTTCAGTTTTAATAAACTAGTTTTGGGTAATTATTATTTTTTTTCTCTCTAAAATTAATAAATTTCCCTCTGAAGTACATACTTACCAAATTCAACTAATCAGGAACTTACTATAAAAGTTGTCCTAAGATAAAATTAAACACGTTGTGCAGTCTGCTCAGAGTGTAGAATAGTTTTTTTTCATAAGCTTTTTGTAAATATAATTATAGCTTAACAATTATGAAGAATCTAAAATAGTTAAATGTTATTATAGGAAATATGATAATAAATCACAATTCTCAAAATCTTGAATAATTTTATGAAAACATTCAAACCAAAAATAATATCAACTAATTATTTTTAGTTTATAAGATCCAATGATTTTCCTATTTTCAAATTGTTGTTGTTAAACTTTTAGGTCTAGCCGTGGTCGAAGTCAACACTTAAAGGTTCAAGATCTTAAGCTTGGAACACCATCCACTTTGAGTTCAATGAATCAACGTGATGTCACGGAAGACGGTAATGTCTCCTCTCCTGACTCCTCGGCTCCCCCCTCTCCCGTTCCGATTAGCGGCAGTGTGCGGCGGGACACTGCTATCTCCAAGGAGAAAGCAAAATTCTTTAGGCAAAGTGCTGCGTTTAATGCGCGAGGTGTGAACGGGAGAGGATCTGGTGTGCCGAAAGTCAATGCCCCCTTAAATATGCGCCTTAGCTCTAGCAGCAGTGATAGCTCCAGCAGCTCGAGTTCAAGCTCGAGCAGCCGGAGTCGCAGCAGCAGTTCAAGTAGCACAACCAGTAGCTCTAGTGATAGTAGTAACAGCTCTAGCAGCAGTAGTAGCAGCAGTGCGCATGCTTGTTCTCTTTCTGTGCGTCCAAGCCGGCCCATATTTCCTCTCCCGAAATGTCTCGCCGCAAGGAATGCCGATTTTAACAAATGTCCTTCAAATGTGTCCTCTAAAAGTTGTAACTCAACATCTGAGTCGGTTCAATCCCTTAAAAAAAATGAACATCGTTTAAAAATAAGTAATAAGCTGAATGATCCTAGTGACCTAAAAAAAACTGATAAAATTAATGATGATCAATCTAAAGTAACCCCTAAAGTATTATTAAGAGCACCAAAACTAATTGCTAAAGTTAATTGTTCACAGCCTAAAATTTTTCCACTTTCACATTCCAAATCAGATAATTCAGATTCACCTGTTTCTCTGTTCAAACAATTATTGACAGAGAATTCAGATAAACCTTGGGGGTTTGCTGCTTTGGCTGCCAAAGCTACCACTGAACCTATAAAACCTGAAGTATATAATAGTAAAAAAGATAAACCTATTGCTGGGTTTATTCAACTGAAGGGGTTATTTGATGGTTTAAGTCATTTCTATTCAACACCATTACAATCTCGGACTCGACCTCGAAATGAAAAAGATCAAAAATTATCCATCAAATCTGACCCAAAAGTCACTTGTGCTGATAAAAAGCTTAAAATACCAGACAAACAACAATCTCCTAGTTTTTTGGTTAAGTCAGCAGTAACATCAAAACTGATGGAAACTAGAGAAGTAGGAGGAATAGAGGGTGATAAAATGCTTAATAATGATAAATCCTTAGACATTTCTCCTTCCGCCTTCCGTGACCATCTGTCCGTGCCGACGATACGTCCAGTCACCCGTTCCGGTAAGCAAGTTCCTTACAAAATCCTGCTAGTATTCGCCAGCTGCATAAAATACTACCATATTTCATAAGGGCTTATATAAATTTTAATCCATTGCATGCTGTAGGTTTTTATTTCTGTTCCTTTGAGTCAATCAAGCGAACGTAGTATGTAGATACCAAGTAATATATTATACCACAATATTGCGTTTATTTGTTGAGAGCATATCAGACAGCCTTAAAGAAATTAACCCTGTGAGTTTATTAAAATTTAATTTTAATTTACGCAATAATTCATACAATGGTTTCTATGTATAAAAGACTGCTCAATTTAATATTAGAAACAATCTTGATAATCACATAAATAAACTATTATATGAGTTAAAAAAATTTTATTCTATTTTATTACTTAATACAGTATAACCCTTTTAAGATAATTTCCATGAGAATCGTTGAAAAATGTACTATGCTGAACATTTTTCATCAAAGAACTGAAAAATAAGCATATTATGCAAGATTACAACGGGTTATAGTGTATTTTTGAACAGTTAATATGTGTTCTGCCATGCTCTTTAACATTTTATATTAGTGTAATGCTGCATTTGACCTTTTTGGCTTACTAACCAGTCTTAGTAATAAATATTAAATACAATTTTCAGTATTGGAAAATATGAGCCGCCTTGTTGCATCAGACTTACCATCTGGCGTTTTACATGAGGATGTCGAAATCTATAAGGAGACAAGAACACGAGCAATGAATGTAATATTTAAATATTTAAATTTTAGTATGTCTTAATTTTAATTGATGATTTACCTTTTAGAGTACAATTCAAGCACCTGAGTTCATTACGTCTAATCATCCAGTCAGATGTCCTGCTGCAATTCAATTTGGTAAATATGAAGTGGAGACATGGTTTTCATCTCCTTTTCCACAAGAGTATGCTAGACTTCCAAAATTGTTCCTTTGTGAGTTTTGTTTGAAATACACTAAGAGTAAATCGGTTTTGGAAAGACATATGCACAACTGTAACTGGAGACACCCACCAGCTACTGAAATTTATCGGCGTGGAAATCTGAGTGTTTTTGAAGTAAATTAATTTTATTTAAAGATTCCTAAGAGGTAAACTAAACAAATAACAATTTTTTTTTGCGCAGGTTGATGGAAACGCCAACAAAATTTATTGCCAAACACTATGCCTATTAGCAAAATTATTTTTGGATCATAAAACTTTGTACTATGATGTTGAGCCTTTCCTATTTTATGTTCTGACAAAAAATGATGGTTATGTAAGTGTAACCTACTTAAATACATTTTATAGTTTTCTTCTATTATGTTTTACTAAAAATGTTTAGGGCTGTCATTTGGTTGGTTACTTTTCAAAAGAAAAACACTGTCAGCAAAAATATAATGTATCTTGTATCTTAACTATGCCTCAGTATCAAAGACAAGGGTTTGGACGATTTCTCATTGAATTCAGTATGTTAAAACTATATGCATAGTTTTATCAGCAAATATCATGTCAAATTTATTTTTTCAGGTTATCTTCTATCAAAAATTGAAGGTCAACCAGGAACGCCAGAAAAACCTCTTTCCGACTTAGGTCAAGTATCATATCATGCATATTGGAAAGCTGTTATATTAGAATATTTAGACAAACACCGAGACAATGCCTCTATTTGTATTAATGATATTAGCAGTAAAACTGGTAACTAAAAATGAATTCAATTGAAATTTAAATCTGAATTTTATGAGATAACTAAAATAGTATAAACAACTTTAATTCAGGTTTAATGAGACATGATATTACATATACTCTACAATCTCTCAACATGGTTGTTGAAGTCTGTGAGAAATTGGCAATTTGTATTGACTGGAACATTGTAGATGCTCATTTAAAAAGAAAAAATTCATCTAAGCAAATTCCAATTGAACCAGAATGTTTAAGATGGACTCCTTTAATGCCAGCATCCAATTTGTTAGTTTCGCCTGATGACAAAGTTAGTTTTTCTGAACAAAAAAAAAATTATTTTTTAATAATTGTTTTTAATTATTACAATATTTTTTCTCAGGACAACCAAGATTTTGAAGAACCTCTTCCTATAAAAATTGAAATAATTAAAAGTCCAATTAAAAAGAAGCGTATTGTAAGAAGAATGCCAATGATAAAGAAACGTAGGAAAATGGATAAGAAGAAGCGTAGGTGTTTATATGGCGCCGAGAAAAAACCTAATTCCATTCAATCTATTGAAACCACAATAAGTCAAGTTGAAGGAGAACAAATTGTGAAGAAACATAAAAATGGACGAATAATCAATATTAAAGTAGAAGATAAATCCATTGAAGACCTTTCAACTAATGAAAAGTCGGAGGCAAAATGGAAATCTACTGAAAAATCAACTAAAAAAGACAAAACGATTGAAAAGTCTAAGGAGGAAAAGATTGAAGATATTAAAGTTGAAATATCAAATCCTAAAATTCCAGCCAAAACCAAACAAAGGTATTAAAAATATTAATTTGATGTATGTATGTATGTTATGTATGAATGATTTTTTATGTATATCATAATAATGAATAATTTTTTTCAGTTCAATCACAAATTTCCTTAAGCGTGAAAATCCAGATTCCAAAGTGACTGTTATTCCTAAAAAGAAGAAAAGGAAGTTGCCTCGGGGTGGTAGATCACGTAAAAGACAAAGATCTAAAACCCAAAATGACAGCATCGAACCTAAAGTCAAGAAAGTTCGAAAAATTGAACAAGAGTCTTTTGAAATTGAACCTATTGATGATAATGTAGAACTACAGCCTGTGAGTACATTGTAGTTCTATAGTATTTTATAATTATATATTCATGTTATACAAATGTATACCAAATTTTTAACGGTTTATTTTTTTTATTATCAGGTGAAAAATGAGAACATTGACAATATAGGCAATGGTGATGAGGACAGTACAAATATAGAGAGTAAAGAGGAAAATAAAGAAATAACTGAAAAATATGACGATGATGGAGAAAAAGAAAACTTACAAGAAAACAACGATAAGAGTCCAGAACACATAATCGAAGAAAAAGATGATAAATATACAAAGATTGAAGAAGAAAATCCATTAGAGGATAAAATAGACCAAATGGATACTGATGATGTATTGATTGAAAAATCAAAGAATGTTATTGCTGAATGTTCAAAAACAAATACAGATTTCAAGGCTGACGAGATAACTGTTGATAATATAATTTGTTCTAAAACTAATAGTGACAGCATTATAAATTCCAATGAGGAAGAACCCGAAGAACCCCAAAATAAAGTAGATAGTAATGTTAATGCTGTAGAAGTAATGACCAACAATGACATTCTAAAATGTCCAAATAGCGAAGAGTCTTTTAATGTAGTCGATATGTGTAATGATGTTCCTAAAATAAAACTATCAGAATCTGAAAAAGAATCTTCCAATAATGCTGTGGAATTCACATGTGACTTAGAGAAGTCTCAGAAATCTATTGTGGATAATGTAATATTAGAAAAACCTAAAGTACAACCTTGTAATAATATTGTGCCTTTGGATGTGAAGCAAAATGAAAATGTGCCAAATAATTTTGACAAGACAAATCTTATCCAAACTGAAACAAAGCAATACAATGACCAAGTTGTTGTATCGAGTAAATTCAAAGGAGATTCTGTTGAGACTGATTTAAGAATGTTTGATAATTCAGCAACATGCAATAGTTTTTCTAAAGCAGATATTACTGTACAGCCTCCAATATCTTCTATCACTGATAAACAGTATAGTACTTGTTCAATGGTTACAAATGATTTTTGTAAATCATCGTCAGATTCATCACTGTTAAATGTTAAACAGTATGGTGGTGAACCTTTGCCAAATGAATACAGTAAATCAGGGACTGTAGTACCTCCAAATACAAAACAATATGGCGAAGCATTATTGAATGAATATAGAAAATTGGACATGCATCAGCCAGATATTAACAAGCAAATGTACAATAAAGAAGATTCTGTTGAGTATTTAAAAAATTTGCAAGTTATTCCACCCATCAATAGTTCACAGGAAGTGTTTAAGCCTGTGGAACAATTAAAACCTAAAGTTTCTGAAAAAAATTATTCTCCTTCAATTGTTTCTGAACACTCAATAGTTGTGCCTAAATACGACAATGTCAAACATGAGAAGCAATCTAAAAGAACAACACCTTCACCAAAAACTGTGCCATATCGTTTGCCCACTGAAGTGCCACAAGTAGATAAATCACGGTTACATGAATATTTGCCTACGATGGGGTTTCTCAACTATCAAAAGATAAATAATTCTATAGCTATGGGCCATCCAGACATCTCTAAAACAACAAAGGACATGTATACAGACAAAAAAACTGACACTGTTAACATGAACTTACCCAAAGACAAAGAAGTAATGAACTTGCCCAAGACTATGGATAACAGTCTTTTATATTCATCTGTTATGCAACAATCACCATATACTGACCAATCTATGATGCACTTATCGCTCCATCACCATTTGGCCCATTCATCTCAGTACCACCATACTCCACCTGTACCTAGTCAGGTGCCGCCTCCTGTTCATCAGACGAAATCTCGGAATAAAAAAAGTGAACAAAGGAGATTGGCTCAACAGAACCAGACACCCGTTGCACCATCTTCTCAACAACCCACCCCACCACCAATACCTAGCCACACACAATCATATCACCATCACCATCAAACAGCTACATACATGATGCCACAGCCATCGCCCTCTAGTCCCTATCATCATTCAGTGATCCAACACCGAATGGGTCAACAAGGAGGCACATGTTCGTCTGCTGATTTTTACTTATCCCATTCTAACCAACACGCAGTTGCTGCAGCTGCACAGATGGCATCATGCAACCTTTCCAAACTTCAACAAATGACAAACGGATTGGATCACCACCGCAGGCACATCTCTTCGCCTGCATCCTCACCAGCCTCTTCCCCTGCTAACATGACTCCACCACCTCAAGCTGCGTCTGCAGCCGCCGCACACTTGCTGCAACAGTCAGCGGTTGCTTATCATAAATTGTACCAACAGGCGGGTCAGACCAATCAGTCACGCCAGTATGGTCATCAAACACGCGGTTCTCCGGCGTCACCAAACGTTGGTCTTATGACAATGCAGTATGGTGCGCCACCTCCTTTTAACGGTTACAGGGTAGCGTCTCAATCCACTCCACCGCCATCTGCTGCTAGTTATATGAACCAGACGGCTGGACAATTACAGTACACGACGCATACACAAGATCCACACCATCAGAATAGTGTGTATCCCACTTCAGCATACAACGGCTCGTATTTACAACCTTTGAACGGGTCCATGCATAGATAATCTCTTGTTATATTATTACTTTTATTATTAACTTTTTTTTATATTAATTATGATTAAAAGATTGTTATTTACCATCATAACATATACTTTTATATAAACATACGAAAAAGAAGAAGAGAAAATGTTACCAGTTTGTTATATTAAGATGATAACTAAAACACAAAATTCATTTTATACCTTAAGGAAAGTGCATTTGCAACAGACCGATTCTTATCTTTAAGTTACGTTAGTTCACAAACAGTATTTTTTTTTAGTTGTGTATGCTATGCATTATTTTTATTTTTTTATTTATCACAACAATTTGTATTTAATTATTACTCTTTCTTTCTGTTGATTGTTGAGATCAATTTGTAAACGTTACGATTCAAAAAATATGTTAAAGGAACGGGTACGTCAAGTTTTTATTGTACAAAGTTCAAAGAATTTCCTTAGTCTGTAAGTACATTTTAAAACACTTGAAAGTCTAGTTTCAGCTTGTTATTTATTTTTTTCTACTGTAATTGTATAAAAATATACATAACTAATTTATTAAAAATTAATTTCAAACTTTTTTTATATTATTGTAATCTCAAAATGCTTATATGTTTTTGAATGGTCTAAAACTATCTAGGCATTAAAGGACATTCAATTCATTATGGGTTAATATGCCATGGTGATAGTATGGCTTTTCTATCATCAGAGCAGATTTATGTTGTGAGTCCCATGATTTATATTATAACATTGCAGAAAAAATAATTAATTCACGAATACTTAATACAACAAAAAAAATGTTGCAATTTATTGAAATAACTAATACAACAAATATATGTAGTACTTGGTTTTGTTGATGTGGATGATGTGTCAGGCTTAGTTTGTCTAGCTATTGTAAGATTAAAATATATATGAAATGTTTTTTTTAGTATTTACATATATTTATTAATACAAATGCAGTGCTTAACTTGGGAAAAGATGGTTAGGTACTCAAGTGCTTCTACAAAAGTATATAATATACCTATCTAATTAGTATACCGAGTATAATCACGGGGCATCACATCGTCAAACATTTTTTACAAACAATGATTTCATAAATTATTGTATTAAATTTAAGAGTTTCAACTTGCGTGTAGCTGGTATACTGGAAGTCATTAATTGTGGTGATATTAATTTTATTTATTTATTCAAAAAGACTGGATTTTAATATCCAAAACAGCTAAAATACCAGAAAATATTGTATAAAAAAAAAGCAAGAATTTCTTTTGTGCCCCCTATTATTTAATCATTAATTTGTTAATTTATTAATAAATAAAATAAGTTTTTTTATTAATTTATTTTTTCAACATAAGTTACTCTTACCGCATTAAGAAAAATATTAAAAATACTGTCAAACTTTTTTCACAATCTTTAAAGTTAAAAATCTCAACAAAATTCGTGAAAATCTTAAAATCTTGTGAATTATTTCGTAGTTAAAATAAAATACAAATTTAAACATCGAAAATTTGATACAAGATTCATCATACGATTTAATTACTGAAAAAAAAAATGGTGCAATCACACGTTTTGATGAGCTATTGAAGTTTTTAAACAAACCCATGATAATAATACATGTCATACATGGGCGCCCATAGGTAACATTTTAGGGGGGGTCAAAATAAAAAAATTCGGTAATAAGGTAATATTGTGGTAATATTTATTGAGCTACAAGTTAATAATATTTTTTTCCCGGGGGGTGGCAAGTGCCCTGTATTGTCCCCCCCCCTCCCCCAATGGGTGCCCATGATGTCATATATGATTATCTGAACATTGACATATTTCTCATTGTTTACGAGAGCCAAAATCACAATAAATCTAATACACATTCACTTGAAATTAAAATTTAACCATCCCATTGTTACTATATATACGATATACCTATAGTTAATTTCCTATACTCAATGCAATATTCAAAATAATTAGACTTCCTAATAGGTATGTATTTATGAATATTTTATTGGCATTTGATAGAAGATCCTAGTATCCTGCATAGAAGGGTAAGTAATTGTATCAATCATTTTGTATTTCGAACTTTGGAGTTATTATTTTGAATAAATTAATAAAAACTTATACTTAATGGTAAAATAAATTTATATAATTTAAAAAAGCAATTTAAATTAAAAATATCTATAGGTATAGGTAAGCGTAGAGTAAAATATTTAATATAGTTAGGTCACTTAGGTAGGTCTAAGTAATTTAGGCTGCAGACAACGTCCCCGCTCAGAATCGTTTTCCACTGAGAAATGAGTACTAAGAAATTATAAAGGGAAATAGGGATTTATTTTTATATACATAGATAGATAGATTGTAGAATTTTACTTCTCAGAACAATTCATATCTACACTCCGATCAAACACATAGACGAACAAAAAGTTATGGTTGCATGTCCGTCACTACGGAAACCCACAGGTCGCCGTGCTGTAGAATATGTATATAGATATACAATTTGTACGTAAACAATTTATTTTTGCCCATTTCAACCCTTTAAAATCTAAATTTTGAAAAATCCTTTCTTATTGGAAATTGACATAATATTAATCCATGCTCAAAATTTCAATTCGATAACTCAAATAGGTTCGGCTCTGCGTTGATTATTCCTAAAGTAACTTTCCTTTATATATAGCGAAGATGTCGACAGTCAGTTATATGAGCACAAACGGATGAGTTCTATTATTTTAATATTATTTCATTGTCAACTGTTTTCATTTTTACTTCACTCTCTGTTTTCCTAGTTTTATTAAAATTAATTAAAATGTTATAGGTTTTATTTAAATTTCCGAAGCTTATTTTCAGTAAATAATTGTTCAAGAATACATGGTGATACAACTGATTATTCTTGGGTTTGGCTATTTAGGTAACTACATCATTCTAGGTATTACACTATTTAAGAAAGACAAATAAGATTTTAGTTGGATGAACCTCCGAAGGATTAATAATGATGACTGAAAACTAAGTTTCTTTTTTGTTAAATGAATGTGAAATTCTAAGTGGCATTAGTATACTAAATAGGTAAGTTAATTTAGTAATGTAATTTTAGAAATTGTATTGAAAACTGTACTTCAATCGCAATAATTATCATCTTTGATGTATCTATTATAATCAGGGATTTAACGACGTCATGTGGCAAGGAACTATTACCTGCATTTAACTCTAGCAGCTAAGTACTGTAGTATAGCAGAGCGGTTATCTATAATATTTATCAGGTACTTACTACTTTTCCCACTTTTCTCTCTCTTTATTTAAACTTGCAGCTTACTTAACCACTCATTTTATTTGACGGTTATGCCCGTCGTCTCTAAATATAAATGGTTCATACGTGTAGCGGGGCATCCCACAGTTCGATATTGTTATATAGGTAGCCATGATTTACGCCATGATAAATAAAAACAAAGTAGGTGTCCCATAGTATTTTAAATATTTATTATTTTGAATATAATCTAATAGGTATTTTCTTTTTACTAGCATTATGAAGAGCTCACATCAGAGTACAGGTTATAAAATTGTTATATAATATATAGCCATATAGGTACGAGAATGGTTATTTATTTAAAACGTGTAACATAAGAGAAAATCCGTCTGCAAAGTAGAGGCCTCATGCGTTTTAGTGCAATTGTCGCTGACGAGACGGCGAAGAAATAAATCAAAAATCTCATCGGCCCTCTTGTCGAGATCATAATAATTTGAATGGGTCGTTCGTGAAAGCCAATATCCGGACCGGGCCGCCGGTGCCGCCGACGATCTTGACAGGCTGGACGACCAGCTTGAATCCTCTCGGTGGCAGCGTCGTGCCGTTTAATGCCACGTTTTCCAAGTTGTAAAGATTGGCTTTGGACAGCACCCCGTGCACGTCGTACGTCGTCGACCGTCCAGGGTCCACGCTTGGCCCGTCCACCCCGACGCCGTACACTTTTCCGGAGTCGACAATCCACTGGGCCGCATCTCTGGACAGTCCGGGAAACCTGCGGATGACAAACTTCCTGTTATAGTGTTATACATATTGTTTTTCCTGGATTCAACGTGCCTACTACATTGGATAAAAATGTCACAATGCAAATAGTGTTAAAATGTATTTTTTTTCATTAGGGGGAACATGGGCGATTGGATGTGGGGTGGTACAGATAACTGCTGCAATGGTAATTGGGTGGGGGTTATTTTTGTATATTTTTCTGTGTGTCTTTGAGCTGGTAAGGTTGTAACACGTGGTAACCATTTTTTACTTGTGCCATGTTTAGTCTCTAAAACCTCGGGTGGTCACTCATCCGGGAGCTACCGAGCTTTAGCAATCTTAATTGATTTGCGGTTACCCACTGGGCCAACATCGTGGCACGAAAATATATTTTATTAGGGTTATAAGTTTATAACACTTATAACCGCATATACATTATACATTGAATATAGGCATATAAAGTTATATAGCGTGCTGCAGAGTGCAGGTTTCGTCCATGAGTGTTAGACGAATTGTTAAGAAAAAAAATAAGAGCAGTGATATAGATTTTTTGAAATCATACGCGTGGGTATTTATAATAGGTTATACATTTAAAACAAAAGATATAGCCATATAGGACACTACCTATATTGCTCTTGACAATGGCATTTGCAGGTATATAGGTACACTTTCAATAAGTATAGTTAAGTCATTTTAAAATGGTTTTTACACTCGTGGTCAATTTAAACCGGAAGGTAATTATGATGTATAATATACATACCTATATGGTTCACGTAATCCGTTGAAGTACGATTGACGATCTCCGAATCTGTGAGCCCAACCGAAGTTCACCAATATCACTGATCGATTGGGCAGCGGACCGTTGGCCTGTTCCCAAGCTTTCAAATGATCGACAGTCAGTAATAAGTCGCCGTTTCCATTGACTTCGTTACTTACGTTCACGTGTACGCCTATACTTTAACATGTATAATGTTATTAATGTAGGTAAATAGTTTATATAATAAATTAGAATATATTGTTATAATGCAGAAAGCGTTATTGCCATTGTTCACCGACTACAAACAGATGACTCACTGAACATGTTCATAAATTGATAAAATTAAATCAAACCATTTTTCCGGAGAGTATTCTAAATATGATGAGAATCAATAATCACCGTCGCCTCTTCACCTGGATGTTGTTAAACGATTATACCTAAAACCTATATTATATGTTAAAAATAAAAACATATAGTTTGTAATTTGTATCCAGTTTACCATGATGTTGAACCTAAATAACTAAAAAATGGTGCTAAATTGACTTTCTCTTCGCAAGTTATAACATTTTCTGCATTATAACTTAACTTCATTTTTTTTCTCAAACGTTTACTCGCCAAAAGAGAGTTTTGTAGTCCTGTATATTAGCATTATCACAAAGATAATGCGTCAATAGTCCCACCCAAGTGGACGACATAATTTGTCGCATGCAAACCGCAGTTACCTTCGACCACCGTCCGGTCCAGCGGGATGTCTTGCAGTTTCCATCCGGTCGGATTAAAGTGAAACGGCGCGTCCAGATGAGTGCCGCAGTGTTCGGGAGTCGAGAAGCTCTCCGTGGTGAACGCTCCGTTCGGCCCCGATCCCGTGTGCACGTTGTATACGTCGAATTGTTGGTTCGGGTCCCAGCACGTGGTCACCCCGTACCGGTAACCGTGACACAGGTCTATCAAGGTGGCTGTGGTACCGCACGGGACTAGAGCCGTCATCGCGATCATCGCCCACCCCATCGAGAACGACAGTAATCGTAGTCTCGAGCACTCCATTTCACTGGCCGGTATACCTATATAATATTATATCATAGAATTTGTATGTTATAGAATTTCCGCGTACCCTGCACAATAGGTATTATAATACCTATGTGAAGATAAGTATCTATTTGTAGAACTATATGCGGTTGTCGATTCTATTATATTATTTAGGCACTGGTATTATAGGTTAGTTATACACTTACTACTTATGCAACGGACTTGAAAATGAATTGCGTATAGATATTTCACCAAATATGTACTTCGGGACGAATTCTGAAATTTTATAATTTTCATTTACATATGTATATTATAACAGCTATAGGTATACATATTATGTTCGAACACATCGCAATGTACGTTTTATTTAGGTACCGTTAATTATTTGAATATTGTCCTATGTGCACGTAATAACCTGACACCTATTTCAATATTTTTGATGTATTTAAATATAAATTTAAACCATGTATAATTTTATATTTTTACCTTATGCATAAATACAATTATTTTTGTAATAATATTGAAGTATAAAACTAATTAGTAGGCAATTATATTATGGAATTATGCTCTTTATGCATGGTTGCCAGTTTCTACAGTTATTAATATATTATTAGGAATCAATATTTTAGAAAAAAAAAAATTGGAAAAACCAGTTTAAAAAAATTGGGAAATGTACTGAAAAAAAGCATGGCTGCTATTTTCATAGCAAGGGGTTACCAAAATATTAAAACTAAAATTCCTAGTGGCGGTAAATGGGAATATATTTATTTGTATACTAACAGTAAACGGAAAAGTAGATCACCCGCACTTACACTAGTCCATCATAATGAATGATAGAACAAGATAAATCGAGTGCCCTTATCTCCTTCTTCAAAGAGTCCGGGCTGGACAAACAAATTTAGCAATAACATTATTCCAATATGCATAATAATATTATATATATAAATATATTTAAAAAAAAAAACGTAGTCTAATGTTACACAAAACTTTGTAAAAAAAATGTTTAATCCTCAAAATGTTGATATTGTTTTGTTTTTATACATTGTAATAAAATAAATTTAAATAATCCGTTGTTCAGGGTGTTCGGAAAATTATTTGGACTCATTTGTCTTTACTTCTTTAGCACATAAAAGAAAATAACTGAGAAATCACTTGTTCGAATTCCGATTTAAAAAAAAAATATATTATTTTTAGTCCTATCTAATAAAAAGCTAACAAGAAGTCACAATCCACGTAATTTAAATAAAATTAAAAAATGCGTTTATAGGTGTCAATTTAAATCTGTATGTGGTCTCTGAGTACTCAAAATTTCAACAAATTGGGATTAAAATTGATTTTATACTATACAAGCGATGGAATCGATGAATCTTCTTGTATACATAATATATTATATTAGGTACGTACCTTTTGATTATTATATTGTTAAAGTATATGTCCATCACTCATCTGTGAGACTGTGACCTGCCGTTCATTGTGTTTCGTGCACTTATTATAGATTTAGTAATGTGTACTAATGTGATATAATTGTACCGAATAGTTGCAGTCGTACATGTAAAAAGTGTAATTTTTTTCACCCGAACTCTGTATTATCGGCGTGAACTGCAGGAATCGAAGGAAAGGTTATCGAAATCATGCTTTTTTGAGCACCTCCATGCATTACCTAATGTTGCATGTTATAAAATATTGTCATCAGCATTGCATAATAATATAATATTTAATATTTAGTACGACGTGTATAATATGATATTATACATACCTATTATGTATATATATATAATACTCTATACATCGATTTCTCGTAATGTTTATTTTAAATGTACTTCGTAAATTATTTTGTACTATTACATAACAGATATGGCCATAGTTTTTTGAACTTTATAATTAGTGTCGTACCCACGTTTTATAAGATAATATGATATATTAAATAATCGGGTCTGACTGCCAGTTAGAAAAAGTCATGTCATAGGTACTCAGGAGCATCGAAATGAAGAAAATAACTTAAGAAAAATACAAACAAATAGTTCTAAGCCATACATTATAATTGTAATCGAGTTGCTACATAAAACCCCTTACCAACATTGCATAAGCAATAAGTATATTAACTATATGTATAGGTACAATATTTATGCTTGTGAAATGAAATAGTTAATTTTAGGCACATTGATATTTATTTAATAGGTATAAAATGTATTAAAAATATAAATATAAATACAACAAAAATATTTATATTAATAAAAATGTTTATTTCATCAACTCGTAGATCGCATTTAACATGAGAGGTAATGCACAGTTTGGAATTTAAAAATATATTGTTTCTACATTATTATATTATATGATTAACTTGAACGTCACTTTAAAAATGATTTTCCAAACCTATATTAGTTAAAACAAACATTATTGAAACTTTTCGGTTGCAAAAGCGTAGTTTTGGTACAACGATCTAAATTACTTTTGAAATCAGCCCGGAAATCATATTGCTTTAAATATCAATATCAAGTTTAATTTATAATGCAATGATCATCAAAAATAGTCGTATTCACAAGGTTGTATAATTATAGACGATAGAGTGAACAACATCAAGAAAACAAAAGAACTCCTGATAATTTAAATAAATAAACTCCATCCCATTGTTATATAAAATATCATTATCTATACTTAATGCATTTTCCAAATATTTAAACTAATCTATAAATACTATATTATAATATAATGTAGCGATATATATAAATCATAAAATTCAAATACCCACCAATATAAAATGACAGCCTTCGCTCAGAATAGTTTTTTGTATTCTATATATAACATGCAATATAATAGATCATTTAATAGTTCGAATTGAACAAATCAATTACAGTGACTTAGTCAATGACGAGGTACACTCGATACTTATACTTGCAACACCTATATAGTATAGCTACTGCATAGAAGAGCGTTTACCCACTTTTTCGCAAACCAAAACGAATATAAAAATATGGCAGAATTTTTTCTGATCAATTTCTAATTTGAATGATAACGTGGTGCTTTTTATAAGCTTAGTTTCTCATGTGAAATTATGAAATGTATTGAACAAAAAGTAGTATCTGCAAGATGAATCTTCGTAATTAATCATCATCCTATAAGTTACAATAGGTAATAAACACATAGCTGGCATATGTCGCAACACGCCTCAAATTATCTATGTATATCAATTTGCCTCGAACCAGTTTCTTTTGTGTAAACTCTAAACATCCATATAATAAGTACACTCTATACTAGATCATTTATTGTTGTAACCGAAATTCGTGTACACAAACCACGATGCAGAGAAGATAGGTCTCGTGAAACAAACGAAAACGCATTATAATCACTCAAGTTGCTATATGTATATGTATATTATGAGTGTTTTTAGTTGTTTTTTTCAACCCCTATATATGCTGCTATAGGGCATGTTTAACACTAAATTCGCTTTGGTTTACGAAAATGGAATGTTTTTTGTTTATATAAGTCGGTACTGGAGGTTGTCATTGGTTATACAGATTCAACTATAGGTATCATAATTAGAAATATGGCATATATATTTTTTTTTTGAATATATAATATAGCTTACAGGTCTCGTTTCACTTCAAAAGTGTTTAGATTTTTATGCATTAAACAAATTCAACCTGAGTATAGGTTAACTATAATAATAATACATTGATTGACTCATTACTTTTTAGTAATTTACATTATTATTGTAAAAAATATGTGTATTTATTAATTCACACAATTAAATATCAATGTAGGTACGTGTGATAATAGGTAAGCCTTAAGGATTATTTATAATTATATAAATTATGTACAGACGGAATTTCGTTGCAGGTATGGCAAACATTAATTTTATAGCATTTAATTGATGTGACTTGATGTGTTGTTATTCGTGATGGATTTCACACGACTCCACTCAAATATCTCAACATGAAAATAATTTAATAAAGAATAATAGGTAGGTATAGATACTTTAAAATTACTAATAGCTAACAGACGTTTAATGACAATGTATCAATTTGAATGTACCTAATGGTTACAAAGGCCTAGTGGTATACAACTGATATTTTCAATGGGAGGGGTGAAGGTGTTATATTATCATTAGTTTTAGAATATTATATTATACAGATAAGCGGTGGTATAGGAAGATTTGGCTGCTGCAATTCTGTTTATGTTGGTTGTCGACAGAGGTCGTTGTAGTATTCACCATGAACATTTAATTATTTTTCCCACCGAACATTTTTTATTTTTATTATTATATCGTTGCTGCCGTGGTGGCGTAGCATCTTATCAACAACCGGTTATTACTTTATATTTCCCTTTGAAAACAGTCACACATGATATTATAGCATTATACTATAGATTTTAGATACCTAATTACAATTATTATACCTACACATATTATATAATATAATGCTATATTGTTTTTAAAAGGAAGGTTAATAAAATAAATATACAACCACGCTCTTTATTGCTTATTCATAAAAATTTATAATTTTATAACTGTGGGGAACCATAGTAAATAATTGTTTTATAGACTGTAGTAATATTAGGGTAATGTAAACTGTAAAGTATACGTACGTCATTAGTCATTACTGCAACAAGGTGTTATTGTAACTTCATTTTAATACAAGTGAATCAAGTATTCAAATATAGTAGGTACAGATAATTATTAAAAACAAGGAGATACAATGAAAGTGCAGTAAAACAATTACAAGTCAAATTAAGATTAATTTTCATAGATATACATGTGTATACGCTTATATTGTACACATTCATACAGGTGTAATCATCTAATTTATTCAACTATGAATTAAATATGACTAAGAATTGTTCTAAGTATATTCTAAAATCAATGCATTGACCATGGTTTTAATTTATATTAAAAAAATGATATGTGGGTACTACCATCCTAAGGTCCAGTACTACCAACCTAAGGCCAGTTTTATAGCTGTTGTCCGTCTCAATATTCCTAATGTTCATTAAAATAAATATGCCCTATCCGGGATGGCGGGATACCCTCATTACTCCCTAACAAATGTTAATCGGTTGATTATTTCGATGATGATGGATTCACGGGCTAGCAGGAATTCATCGCCCTGGATATCACGTTCAGATCATCACCCCCTGTTCGGACCCGCAGCCCTGGACCTGAATTTCTGAGTTGCCCCATCGCGAACTGGCCTCTGCCACCGCTCTAGTGTCCATATATTAGTATATAGAGACGTTAGAGCAGCCTGCCTTCCCTCTCCTCTTCTTCGAGAGTCAAGATCTCCTCCACCATCATGTTACAGATCCTGAACGTTTCCTCTGCATCATTAAGCACCTCGACTATATAGGTGGTCCGGCGGTAGGTTTTCAAAAATTAATCTTTGTTATTTTGAAGACTTTTTGAGCATTTTAGGATGTTGTTATACTTGCTGTAAAAATCTGACTCTCGTGATTATTTATATACCTATAATATAAAAAATAATAAAAAATACAACAAAACATTAATATTATTACTGTTCTGTGCGGCAGAGGGTTATTGTTTCTGTGAGAGGCGCTCGCAAGCTCTCCATCAAGCGCGATCATCGGCCCAAACGTTTATTATTATATTTTTAACGGGCGGTGGAGTGCAAGAAAAACGGTACCTATTCAGCGCTTCGTCGTGGTAGCCGACAAGGAGAGGAGAAGACGATTTTGATGAGATATTTCTGTTGGAGGAGTATAAAAAACCGTCCCCACCGCTGCAGGTCACGTTTATCTTTGACCGGTTGTCGGGCGGGAGGAACCGAATGCGGCGCCAAGATAGCGGCCGCCTCCCGAGCCATTAATCCCGCACCGGTGTGTCATTGGGCGGGCCACCTGACCTAACCGTGACGTCCGTCGGCCACGCCGCCGCAACTGCACCGCATCCGTTCAGTCCGCACTCGAACGCCGCCGCAGTCGTTTTGAAGCGCCGCACGCGTAATCATCGTAAGAATAATAATAATAGTCATATTGTTCGTGTGGTTTTCGGTAATAATAATCTACAATATTGCGTTCGTAGACGGTTTGTGTTATTATAATTTCGTATAATACAATATTGTACGCTGCAGTCGATAGCTTTTACCGCTCGCGTTTTGCACCTGTCGCGAATATTTTATGTAAAAACCAATCGACTTTTGAAGTTTTATTGTGTTTCATCAAAGCGTATATACCCATAGTCGGGTATATAATATAATATCAACAATTATTCTGTTAACTTAAAAAAAGTTTCGTAAAATGCCGCGGCCCAGTCGCGACTCATACGGCGACCAAAAACCACCGTACAGTTACATATCGCTGACGGCCATGGCCATATGGAGTTCACCCGAGAAAATGCTTCCGCTGTCCGACATCTACAAGTTCATTAGCGATCAGTTCCCGTACTACAGACGGAACACTCAACGCTGGCAGAACTCACTCCGGCACAACCTGTCGTTCAACGACTGTTTCGTGAAAATCCCGAGGATGCCGGACAGGCCGGGCAAAGGCGCGTACTGGGCTCTGCACCCGGCCGCCCTCGACATGTTCGAGAACGGTTCGCTGTTACGGCGCCGCAAACGGTTTAAGCTGGTCAAGTCCGACAAAGACAGGTGCGCAAAGTACCTATATAATATTATCATTATAATATAATTAGGGATAATCTTGTTTAATGTTTATCATTATGACAATATTACCAATATCTATACCCGCGGGTGATGTAAGTAGGAAATACCCACACCAATGTATTATAATTTATGACTATATACAGGGACTACATATAATATTACAGTAGTAATGTAGTAAATAGTAATGTAGTAAACAACCTATGAATTATGTAATTTAAGTACCGTCTATACAATAGGTGTAATAATATGAAATACAGTATAAATATATATTACACCTAATGTTAGGTATTAATGTACATAATAAGTACACTTCCACATTTACTTATTAAATAAATAATAATACACATCTCAGTCTATACCCCCTCCCCCCTATCAAGCATACTCATATCATATTAAATATTTAAATTTTAAGGTATACCTAATAATAGTAAATATTTATAATTTTAGATACTTAATAATTAATATACCTATATTATTAAATTATAATAGAATATTGCCAGTCATATATAATGATAATAATGTTTATTCTGTCCGTATTGCTTCCATTCTAATGGTTATCATTTGTTTGATTAAATTATATTTAGATTGGACAACGAACTGATCGCTCTGGCTAACAATTTGGCGCACATGCAGCGCAACCATCCATCCATGTCGGCGGCCTCATCACTGTCGTTGGCGGCTGCTTCGTCGTCAGGCGCGTCGTCCGCTTCGTCGTCGTCGCCGTGTTCATCGTCGGCCGGCAGCCCGCCACCGCCGACCCAAACACAGCCGCCGCCGTCGTCTCAACACGGCGCAGCGGCCGCTCCTCATCACCACCAGCCGCACTGTTACGACGACAACAGCGGCGGCAGTCGTCGCCGCCACCGCAGCCGCAGCCGTAACATTTCGGCACATCGCGACCACCGGCACGCCATCACCGTCGTGGACGCGGTCACCGCTTGCACCACCAAGCCGGCGGTCAAAAGACCGTTCGACATCGAGAGCCTGATCGGACCCGATCCGTTGTCGGCGACGTCTGCCGCCGCACCGTCGCAGCCGCTGGCCGCCGCGGACTACACGGACGACGACGACGACGACGACGACGACGTAGACGACGACATCCTACGACGATTCCCGTCCATCGTGCCGGCCGCTTACCGGGCACCGTTGATGGTGCCGTACGAGTTCCATCACGCGGCCGCCGCCGCAGCGATCGCGTTCCAAGACCATCACCAACACCACTTGCACCACAGTCAGCTGCAACAGTTGCACCACCATCACCACCAACAACAACAGCACTATTTACGGTACGCCGCGGCGTCTTATTTTCCGCACAACTAATATTCAGATATAATAATAATAAATAGGTACGCGTTTCCCGTCTCTATTAATATAATTTTAACCCGTATATACATATTATTTAATGTATAGGTATATAACAACAACGATAATAATAATAATATTATATTATGTAGTCACGTGTTCGGTAATAAGTCGAACTTTGACTGACCGCACTTTGGATTCGCGTATATGACCTGTGTAGGTCGTAGGTGTTATATAGGTACTTATATTATTATGTTGGATAAGCGTGGCGTGCCGTTTGTGCTCGATGACCACAATATCTACTCGGCTTGCACACTTTCGCGGAGACGATTATTCTACATATATGTATTGTACGATATATACCTACCTAATGTTTACCTATATGTATATAGAACAGATTTTCCTATGTACATACTCCCGGGTAGGTACTATATCGTTGAGTGTGTTATATTGTTTATACTCAATGGTGCCTGCATATATAATATATATATACTTATGTTATATGTACGCGATTCAATACATATAATATATACTTCATGTGTATATGCGTCCTTATATATATAATTATTATATATATATATTATTTTAACCGTTGTTCTTAAATTATATATACATAATTTATTTGTTTTTTTTTTTGTTTTATATATATATATATATATTATTTTAACCGTTGTTCTTAAATTATATATACATAATTTATTTGTTTTTTTTTTTGTTTTTTTTCCTATTTGTAAGGTCCGTACAAATTAGCCATCATTATTATATACATATTATATAGTGTAACATAACCACGATACTATGTTGTATATTTCATGACAATATCCTTATAGTATTGTGATCGTGTCAACTACGTATATACATTATAATATATGCCCACTATAATATTATAAAACAATGACGTACTGAACCTATGTATACATTAAAATATATATATTGTGTAAGGAAATAAAATTGTAGTTTTTAGTATTCGTTATTCTGTGATTTAGTTTTTAATGTGTGCAGTAATAATTATAGGTATATTAAATTTCCGATGAAAATTAATATTAAGTCATTTATACATTATACATTATGTAATATCTCACCTTTATTATATCGATGCGATTTCGTTTGCTGCCCACGCTGTGGACCCTAACCTTATTCTGTTGCATGTGTATAATTTATATGATGTGTGTACTGCGAAAATACTCATTATTATTATGATTCGTTTTTAGTTATTTTTATACAAAACATATATTCATATATAATTATATAAATGACTTAAAAAGTTATAACTCTGTTACCCCGATATTCCTCGTGTACAAATTTGAAGAAAAAAAGGTGAATATAATTATTTATTTATTATTATTATTATTATTATTATTAGGTATTATCATTTGCGATTGTAATAATTGTGTTCGTAGAATTTGTATTATATATAACCTATATGTATAATATTCAAGTGCAGTGTAATGTTCGTCGAATAAATGTGCAATTTTCGTAGAAAAAGACATTGTTTTACTATATATTTTTTTGTTGTTGTTTACTATACCTTTCTCCATATATTAATCATGCTATTATCTGTTTACATATTACATGAAACTATAATAAAATTAATTGTGTAAACAATTTAAACTCTTTGTTGTCAATGGCCATAGTTGCCGAGGCTTATTTCAAATAAAAAAAATAATAAAAATAAATAAATTACCCTATTCGTGCATAGTTCACGTAGGTAGCCGTAGTAAAAGTAGTCACTGTCTTATACACCGGCAATACTGCAGTTGTACCTATGTGTTAGCAGCAGGTAATATTTGTTTGCTGCTCATATCAAGAACTATTGTAGCTGCAGAAGTGATTTCAGAATTCAAACTTATAGGTACAATGGAAATAAATTACAAAAAATTAAATTATTTTCCACCACCTAAATCCAACCCTGACACAGGGAGTAATCGTATAATCCCTTGGGGTTCGAGTATTTAGATAGGTGCTCGTATTAAATGATATCGCATATTATATTATGTAAACAATAATCATTATTTTTACCGGCTCGGCGCCGTCTTTTTTCACGCATATTTTCCGTTTATGATATAATAATCAGTGATGACTAAATATTTATTATCTGTAAGCTATTTGCACCGCAGCCACTGCATGCTATATTATCTGTAATCGAATGGAAGAAGTCGCGTCTACTATACAATCATGCTAATCATCACTAATTAATGTATTGTATAATAATTTTATACTTCAAGCATACATTATATTGGTATGCTTCTCGACTTTTGGCATTGTTAATAGACGATAATAGAGAAAAAAAATTGTTGTTATTTTCGTTTCGCATATACCTATATATTATACCTATAGTAGAAATAGTGAACACTGTGCAGTGTGCATGTATGTTTATATTTCAATAATACTTAGCTGAAATCTTCTATAGTCATATTTTATAATTTTTAATGCGATGTGTGTGCCTATACTTCAAGATATGAAAAAAAAAATCTTTTTCGAACAAAAATATTATGGATTGTTGGTATAAGGTAGTAGGTATTATAGTTGCATACCATGAAGGTCAAAATGTAATTATTTGTTTTTACAATTTTTTTCATAGGAAAAAAAAGAAAAATCTCGTGTCACAGCTGTACAATATTGGGTTGAAGTGCGTATCTATTATTTACACGCTGAAACGACCTTACAAATATTTATTTTTTTACTTTACGTCAGATAGTTTAGCGAGACGTATTAATTTGAATAACCGTGCAGTAAGGAAGGCGTGCTATAGGCCGCATTATATTATATAATTCGATTTATGACTACAAAAGAATGAGCGAATCTCTTGTAAAAATAAAGTGTCTAATGAAGCATAAAGACGTTGCAGTGTTATACAGGTATACCCATACATACATTTGTGAACAATTATTTAATCGACATATGTCCTTATTCCTTGTAAATTATTTGTGTGAAGTTGGCCTTTATTGCAGTCCATCTCGAACAAATTGTTTAAAATGAATTGTAAATCAAAGTGCTGCGTTTGTAAGTAGTTGCGTAAGTTATTTCCCAAAATGTTGACATTAAGAGTTTCAAGGTTATGTGGCCACATGTGAATAAGGTTTTGGGCCGTAACCCCTTATTACAAACAAATCGACATAATATGTCCTTATTCCTTGTAAATTATTTGTGTGAAGTTGGCCTTTATTGCAGTCCATCTCGAACAAATTGTTTAAAATGAATTGTAAATCAAAGTGCTGCGTTTGTAAGTAGTTGCGTAAGTTATTTCCCAAAATGTTGACATTAAGAGTTTCAAGGTTATGTGGCCACATGTGAATAAGGTTTTGGGCCGTAACCCCTTATTACAAACAAATCGCCTCCCCTATTGCAAATCCTAACTGTATATTCCCAAATTATTGTTATTATTATTCCAAGGCGTATAATTAATTATAGCCCCATCACACAGTCGTTATAAATTCAGGGAGTAAAAACGGGGAACTCGCCAGAATTTGTACCAGTTTTTAAACCCGTAACTCACTACGTACCCTGTTTCAGACGCCACGAAATCCCCAAAAATTTACAATTTACATCTAAATTCAACACAATGAATTGAAAGTGAACGAATGCCGTTCTGCAACAAAACTTTAAATTTAAAATTTAAATTCAGTCTAAAGTCGAATATTTATGTATTATATTTTTATTATTAGTTTTTTTATTTATTATATTATATATTATTTATATTTATGCTGTAAAAGACACATTATGTTATACGTTAGAAATAAAGTTTTCACCATAAAAACCGATATAGTTAATTATTATTGTTGTAGTCGAACAGCGTTAGAAAACTCGGTTACGATGTGGACTAGGCCTACCGGGGACTTCACAATAAAAAAAAAAACGCGCCATGTGTAATATTCTCATAGAATGTAGACGATGTAATATTATGTCATTTAAGTATTAAACAATCGAAGGCGGTGAGGAAACTTGTACATCATTGTCATCCTTTTACGCCGAGTACTTTCTCGTACTTAGATAGTTGCAAAAAATATTTATACAGGGTGATTATATTTTTAACAGTATTAATACCTATTACCTACTATACAAATACCTATTAAATGCCAATTGTGGGTTGGTGTGTCGCGGTGTCTACACTCTGTTACTTAATACTTATGAGTTCTGAGTTTATATGCACCGGCCGGTGTCGCTAGTTCCCGGATGGGTGACCACTCGGGAATTTTAGTAATAAATCCTTGCCACGCGTAGGTACAAGTGTTCCGAACCAATCGTAACATCCCCTACAGTAAAAGGAAACCGGCTAGCCACCATGCAGTTGATGCTATAAAAATTTAAAAATAAAAAAAAATTAATATCAAATTCAATAAATTCAATAATTATTTTTATCGGCTAACGAGAAATATTTACATTTATTAAGGCACTGTAAAAACATTACTATTACGATCACTCTATATACCTACGAATCATTCTGATTGCATTGATTCATTTACTAAGAATAATTTATTTTCGTTTGTCTAACGTGAACATAATACATTTCTATTCGCAACCACTGAAGATTAATATAGTTGATAGGTACACGGATTTAACTCTCGTCCCACAAACAGCTGTTGAGCATAAGACGAGTAAATATTTTAAGCTAAAATTCAATACTAATCTGATTTCTAAAATTGTGTGATTGTAGCTTGAATGATTCTATAACATACTTTTGGATTCCTAGTTATTGTAATATCTTAACTTACTTATGATTACAGATTTGTTTCCATATGGCAAAACTTCTCGAGCGCTTGGTTCTAATTAAAATCCAGCCCTGCAGTATTAATATTATGATCGACATCGGAAATGCCTATTTGCAGATTATTGGTGTTTAATAAAATATCGTACGGCTTAAGTTAAGATATTAGACGTATTTGTAAATTAACATAGCACTTTGCCATATCAACTCGACTTTGTCATTAGTCATTAAATATCAATACTTTAAAATTAACGAAACGACTATCTAAAGGGCGACGGGGTTTTTGTTTTGTGTGTAGTTTGTCAGGGGATGGTTTTAGCTGATAAAAAAAACATAACAATATTAACAAATCTTTGTATATACTTCTGCAGTGCTATATAAATGTAATATTATTTATTAATAATTATTATACTGTGACGGAGCGAGCGAATTAATTGTCGAGACGCTCGTCGTATAGCAGCGTGTCACAGATGCGTCGATTTAGTGATGTCGAGACTCGAGTAGACGAGAGGTAAATTATAAATATGATAGCTAGTGAAAATAGAATAAAAATAATACAAAATTAATGTGCATTGCCAAACGAGCGAACGCGTCTAATGTACCTATCTATTATAATGCATATTATACCTACCTACATATAATGACTTTTTTACACGTCGTGTCATTATACGCTCGATGTTGT